ATCTCCAGGCTGCAAGGCAGGCCGGGGGTGGGGACTAATGGCCACTGGTAGGAGCTGGCACAGTCACAGCCACCGCTTGCACTGGCTGAAGCTTGCAGGATAGTGCAGACATTCATCATTTATTCATTTTACGCCTGTCCGTTCTGGAAAAGATTTAAGGCACACTCTATCACTTATTCATACATTTATATTCATTCAATCCTTTCACTCCCTCAGGCACTCATCATTCATTCAGCTCAATTTTTAAAGATTTTATTTATTTATTTGAGAGGGGAGGGGAGAGGGAGCACGAGCAGAGGGAGGGGCAGAGGCCTTGCTAAGCAGGATGCCTGATTGGGACCACATCCCAGGACCCCCAGGGTTAATGACCTGAGCCACCCAGGCACCCTTCAGCTAATTCTCTTTATTGCAAAGGCCACTGCTCCTAAGTGCCACCTCTTTCCTCTAGTGTTCATGGGACTCCCGGCCCGTGTGAATCCTAGGAGGTTACCCAGGATGCTGCACCCTTGGAACAGCTGGTCTCACTACCTCATTTTGCAGATGAGGAGCTGATGAGTAGCCACCCAAGGTCAAAGCCAGACTCAGAAAAAAAAAAAAAAAAAAAAAAGCCAGACTCAGGGGAGAAGCCCCATCTTGGGTTTGCAACCGACCCAGTGTATGAAAAAGCCAGAGAGACACCGTGCAAAGGAAGCCAAGGCCACCAGAGGCTGGTCTATGTACCGAGGAACCAGCTCCAGCCTCGGGGTCTGAAGATCAAGCTTCCAGCCCCAGTTGTGTATTGCCTCTGCCCAAATTCTTACATCCTGGGCATCTCCACCTGGGTGCCCCACAGGACCCTTGAATTCATGTCCAAACCCAGTTCTCTACCCATCTGCACACGCCTCCTGTCCCAAACCTGTTCCACCTACCATCTGAGAGTCTACTATCTCCCCAGCTGCAAAAGCCAGAGGACTCAGCATCTGTCCCCCTCCACCTCCCCCTACTACCAAGTCCTGTACTCTATGACCTTCCCAAACCTCTCTTGAATTATCCCACTTGCCCCCATGCCACTGCTTCCACTGCAGAGACCTAGCTCCTCTGTGGCCAGGCTATTCCAGACAAGTGCCTTAGCCTTCCCATGAACTGGTCTTCAGTGTCTCCACACAGACCTGCCTTTGGGGCACCAAGGAACAGGTTGTGGAGAACCTGGCTGAATCTGAATGCTCGAAGTCCCTGTTCCTCCTTGAACTAGGCATGCTGATCTTTTTTTTTTAAGACTTTATTTAAAAAAAAACAAGACTTTATTTATTCATGAGAGGCAGAGGAGAGAGAGAGAGACAGAGACATAGGCAGAGGGAGAAACAGGCTCCATGCAGGGAGCCTGATGTGGGACTCAATCCTGGATCTCCAGGATCACGCCCTGGGCCAAAGGTGGGCACTAAACCGCTAGGCCACCGGGGCTGCCTTAGCCATGCTGATCTACACAGGACCTTTCTGCCTGTGTAGTGCCATCTAGTACTTTGACTTCCAAGGTCATGGCTAGCTAATAATGGCCTTCGTTCCCTAAACAAACTATGGCCAGGTGCTAAGTACTTCATACAATTTCATCAACAGAGCAGTCCTGAGGCAGGTGCGTGAGACGGTGAGAAGCTAAATAATTTGGCTGTGATTCTACAGCTCATATATGGAGTTGGGACTCAAACCCAGATCTGACTGAGCCCAAGCCCACACACTTGGCTGTGCCGCTTTGTCTCGTCAGTGCAGCACTTTGGTAACTGGTACCACCCCATGCTCCCCATTCCCTAACAAAACTTGCACTGCCTGTATGTATGGGAGGATTATAACCCTGTCGCTTCCATTCTGGGCAAGCAGGGATAAAACCCCTGCAAGTTGGCTGCAGCTGCTGAATGCCCTGCATTCCTCTAGCGGTACCAGGCAGAGTTCAGCTGTGCCTGCCCCCTCCTGAGGGCTGCTGGCTGCCCGGCGCTGCTGCTGGGCCTGGACTGAGCTGCTGGGAAGTGGCCCCAAGCCAGGCGCTCACACACTGGGTCTGTGTGACCTTGAGCTGAAATGGCCTGTCTCCTGGCACAGTAAGAAGAGTGCTGAGAGGCTGTGTCAGACACAACACACCTTGACCTGGCATAGTTTTAATGATGGAGACAAGAAACTGTCATGAGCTATGAGACTCTGGAGCTGAATTCCAACAAGCTAACTCCAGGTGGCTGCTCAGGTGGGTCTGAATTCCTGAGCCATCCTAGCCGAACTTGAGGACTCACGGGGAGAACAGCAGAAGAGATGGTGCTGGATAAGCCGTTCTTTAGGAGGCCAGGGAACCACAGACAGGTGCCACATGGGTAAGGTCTCGTTGGCACTGGTCTGGCAATCAAAATGCGTGGCAGGATCCTGACTCTGCCACTTGTCAGGATCCAGCAAGGTAACAGATGAATAAGTGTTGAGAAAGCTACCAAAAGCTCTGTGAATGTTCGGACTTATTACATATTAATGGAGACTGCTTTTGTTTCTTTCCCTTTGGGGAGTGAAGCAAAACTGCAGGATGGTTATCTCAGAGGCAGCAGACTGTAAAACTGGGCTGACCTGGGTTCAAATCCTGACTCCACTCTAGCTCTTGGCCAAGTTCTGTAACCTGCCAGGTGAAAACCTATCTCACTCAGACTTAGTCACAGAACTTGCAGCCTATAGATGACTGGGAGTTTCACTCCACATCTGGCCTCTCCCTCTCTCGCACCCTAGCTCACTCGGCTCCCACTGGCCATTTCCCTACATTCTCTCAACACACAAAACATGCTCTGGCCTCATGACCTGTGCACCTGCAATTTCCTCTTCCTGGAACACTTCTCCCGGGTAGCTCAACGTCTGCCCCCTTGCCCCCTTCAGGTCTCTGCCCAAATGACACCTATCAGTGTGGTCTTTCCTAACTATCCTATTAAAAATGCTAACTCCTACCCTTGACTTGCAAGGCGGGCCTTCTACCCTGAGAGCTGCACTGGTGCCACCTTGGGGTGGTAGGTCCAGGGCTACCACCCAGATTAAAGAGAAAGCCATTCAGCCCAGCTCCAGGAAATGCCTCCCATTGAAGTCCCCATGATAGCATGATAGCGCCTGTAGCAGGCCCAGCTCTGCTGGGGAGCAGGCATTAAGACCTCCCAAGGATACTGTGCATCAGTGGGTAACATGGCACTTCCACATCCACCCCACCTCACATCCTGAGGAGGGACCTTCATTTTCAGACAAGGCTACCAGCTCAGAGGGGCCACATGGTGGTATCAGTGACACGATTCAGACTCTAATACAGGTGTCAGTGGCTCTTTCCACATTTTTTTTTAGATTATTTATTTATTTATTCATGAGAGACACAGGGAGGGAGGGAGGGAGGGAGGGAGGGAGGGAGGGAGGGAGGGAGGGAGGGAGAGAGAGAGGCAGAGACACAGGCAGAGGGAGAAGCAGGTTCCATGCAGTGAGCCCAACGTGGGACTCGATCCCGGGTCTCCAGGATCAGGCCTTGGGCTGAAGGCCGCACTAAATTGCTGAGCCACCTGGGCTGCCCTCTTTCCACATTCTTAAGCTCACTCATAATCCAAAAACTCAAACAGAAGCAATCATACATCAGGTGAGCCAAAGTCTAGCTCAAGAATTCCTAGCAACCCTGTCACAAGGACACACCAAGCAGCCTCACCAGCCATGTCCTGCAAAGTTCCAGAAAACACACCTTCACTTTAAGGCTTATAGACCACACAGATTTTTATGGGCTTATTGCCACTTCGTCTCTTCCTGCCAGTCTTAGGGTAGGACTTTCTAAAGCAAAAGGAGGTTTTCACTACCTACTACCTTGATCTTGGACAAACGATGTGATTACCCCAAGCCTCAATTTCCTCATCAATAAAATCAGGATACCAAGTCTACCTGGCTCCAGAATAAATGAGACCATGCATAAACTTAATGAGACCTCCCTGAGGACTTACTCCTAATACAAAATTTCTGTAGTAACAAGAACATTTGACCATTAATGAATAGGTCCAGTGAGATGCCTGAGGCAATCAGCTTCAGTGAAGTTTTCAACAATCATACATCTGTGTTGTCTGTGCTTTGTTAGATTAGAAATTGGTTCTGACAGTAAATAGCGTAGGCTGCTAGGTTTTGAAGTGGCTCTTCCCAGGGAAGTCCCCAAGATGGCAGAGCCCCACTATGCATTTAGGAAGGAATGGCAGGAGTGAGAAAAACAGACACAACTCAGTTGTGACTGGCCATGAAGGTGCTGAGAAGCAGCTGTATCAAACTCACTGAGGGTGGGAGAGGCTGCACGTACCATAAGTCAGTTTCCAGCGTGAAGTATTAAAGACATAGGCAGAAGACAGTAGAAAAAAGTGGTCGTTGGGAGCCAAGTCTTGGCTTTTTGAGAACTACAGGACATCGAGCAAGTCACTTTACAACCTGAGTGCACTTCCTCATCTGTGAAGTGGGGATTCTACTGCCACTCCTGCGCTGTGAGGGGTCAGCAGCGTACCCGGCTTCCTCTTAGCACAGTTCATGGCAAGTTCATGGCACCAGGAGGTGGTCCAAGCTTTTGCCCAAGACTCAGCACTTCTGTTAACATGCATGCAAATCATGGTAGGTCACTTACTGCCCACGGGTTTCTTGTGAGGTGCAAATAAGATACTGAAGGTGAGAATGTCCTGCAAACTGCAAATTCATTTTTTTTTAATTTTTTTTAAATTTATTTATGATAGTCACACAGAGAGAGAGAGAGAGAGGCAGAGACACAGGCAGAGGGAGAAGCAGGCTCCATGCACCGGGAGCCCGACGTGGGATTTGATCCCGGGTCTCCAGGATCGCGCCCTGGGCCAAAGGCAGGCGCCAAACCGCTGCGCCACCCAGGGATCCCCAAAATGCAAATTCAATCGAAATACCAACAACTGATGATCAGGAGAAAAGTGTTAGAGGAAATCACATATTGTCACCCTCAACCAGATTCCCCCCAACAATGATGAGATGACAAATCTGGCTCCAAAGAAGATCTTTTACTGAGACTTATTTAAAATACTTCAGTCCTTAATCCAAATAAACTTCAACTCAGCTGAATTGCTGATGGCTGATCTAGGCAAAGGCTTCATGGAGACAAAAAGAGGCCCCACCTACAAAGACCTTAAAATGAGTTCCTAACAAAGAGTGTGAATGTCCTCAGGGTCTCTGTCCCATCTTCTTCAGAGTTCGATTGAGCTAAAAGAAAGAGAAAAGCAAAGTTAGATACAGTTATTTCACCAACCCTTTCCCTCTAGTGTGCATGATCACCAACCAGGACAGACCCCTGGGCTGACCCCCTGAAGTCAGGGAGGGGTGTCTGATACAGGTATGGGTGTCCACTTTGTGTGCATAAAGCCCCAATTAGGTGCTCCACTCCTGATACTCCTATGGCCCTGCACAATTCATGCAGACTGTTCTCCTACCTGCCCTTCACACGCCACACACACACACACACACACACACACACACACACACACACCCTATATTGCTCTGGCCATTTTATAGACATAGGGCTCAGAGTGGCTAAACTTGCCAGGACTGCATCATCCTGCAGGAAGCGCCTCATGGCATGGACCAGAGGAGCATAGTAGTGACCTCTGCTGGAGAACTCAGGACACCAGGACAAAGTGGCTCCAGCTATGGCCACAAAGAGACTAGCACGCGCACACCCTGCATCCTTGTAGTGTCTGGCCTGACCCACAAGACCTCTCCTAGGGCAAGAAGTGAAATGCACCAAGTCTGTCAAAACACAGCTTCCTGTCCTCTGCCTTCAGGAACTGGCCAGACCTGTCTCAAGTCAGAGAGTAACTGCCAAATGGGGAGGATGGGTAAGAGCAGGCAGTGAATCCACCCATATTAGGAAATACCAAGGAGGGAGGGGAGAACTGGCCACCCGCAGAGAGAGATCTTGGAAAGAGATGCTCTAGAGAAGGCTGACACAGCAACTGCTACAACAGGCCCAACCCCATTCCCCAAACCCCAAGCAGCCAGCCAGTCTCAGAAACTTTAAAGGGCCAACTTGGGGCCTTCTAGAAATGAAAAATAAAAAATTTCAAAACTCCCCACCTAGTTCCTAACCTCTGCCTCCAGCCCACAAACACTGTGACTGCTCACCTCCTCAAATTTGTGAATCTGCCGGATGAAGAAATCCCCATAGCGCCTGGCGACCTTGGTGTCTGCAATGTGGATCATGTCCTGTGGGAAAAGCAGAGTCAGAGAGGAGCAGTGAGGTACAGCCACTTAAAGGACTTTCAAGTAACCATGCTGCTAAGTGCTAGATAAACCCCTACAGTGGTTTACAAAAGCAAACAGGAAAAAAACTCAATGGAAGAGCATTACCAGTTGATAGCAGCTCTTTCTAGATGGTTGATTTTAATTTTGTTAATTCATTTATTTTTATTTGCAAGTCTTTTTTAATGAACAGGAAGCTTTCAGCAATAAACACATTCTTCAAGACAGCATTTTAATCTCATACAATATTTTATGAGTGTAAGGTTGTGAGTCCAGATTCTAAATTTTGTTTTTAGCCCAAATGTGGTTGAATACCATTTTACTTGTAAATTCCTATGTAATCTAAGTTAAGACCCAAGAACTTTCTGAATCTATTTGATGGTATTTTTTTCATGTCAAGGATAAAAAAAGAAAAGCCAAAAGACTGAAAGCAGGGATGCCTGACTGGCTCAGTCAACAGAGCGTGTGACATAGTCTCGTTCTCGGGGTTCCGAGTTCAACTGGGGAGGGATGCGGGGGGGGGGGGTGCAGAACATACTTAAAAAAATATTTATTTATTTATTTTTAAAGATTGTATTTATTTATTCATGAGAGACACACACACAGAGAGAGGCAGAGACACAGGCAGAGGGAAAAGCAGGCTCCATGCAGGGAGCCCGACATGGGACTCGATCCCGGGTCTCCAGGATCATGCCCTGGGCCAAAGGCAGGCACTAAAACCACTGAACCATCCAGGGATCCCCCAAGTTAGTAATTCTTAGGAGAAGTGTTTTATTTATTTAGAAGTAAACTTTACACCCAACACGAAGCTTGAATTCACGACCCTAAGATCAAGAATCACATGTTCTACCAACGGCACCAGCCAGGCATCCCAGGAGAAGTATTTTAGTAAAGCCCATCCAGGAGCACCTGAGTCAGTTAGGCATCTCCCTTTGGCTCAGGTCATGATCCCGAGGGTCCTGGACTTGGTAGTGAGTCCACTTCTCCCTCTCCCTCTGTTCCAGCTCTGCTCGTGGTCACTCTCAAAAATAAATAAAATTGGGGATCCCTGAGTGGCTCAGCAGTTTAGCGCCTCCCTTAGGCCCGGGCTGTGATCCTGGAGTCCCAGAATCCAGTTCTGCATCAAGCTCCATGCATGGAGCCAGATTCTCCCTCTGCCTGCCTGCCTCCCTCCTTCCCTCCCTCCCTCTCATGAATAAATAAATAAAAATCTTTAAAAATAAATAAATAAATGAAATCTTAAAAAAAAAAAAAAAAGACAATCTATGGGACACCTTGGTGGTTCAGCGGTTGAGTATCTGCCTTCGGCTAAAGGTGTGATTTTGGAGTCCCCGGATCAAGTCCCACATCGGGCTCCCTGCATGGAGCCTGCTTCTCCCTCTGCCTGTGTCTTTGCCTCTCTCTCTCTCTCTCTCTCTGTGTGTCTCTCATGAGTAAAAAAAAAAAAAAAAAAAAAAAAAAAAGACCATCTAGATAATTGGGGCTAGTCCAGCTGGGTCACAAAGTGATGATAGGAGGATGGAACAGGTTGCCGATACTGCCAAAGAATATATGTCAGGCACCAAGAATAAATTCGAAAAGGACTTTAAATAGTTGATGTGAGGGATCCCTGGGTGGCGCAGCGATTTGGCATCTGCCTTTGGCCCAGCGCGCGATCCTGGAGACCCGGGATCGAATCCCACGTCGGGCCCCCGGTGCATGGAGCCTGCTTCTCCCTCTGCCTATGTCTCTGCCTCTCTCTCTCTCTCTCTGTGACTATCATAAATAAAAATAAATAAATAAATAGATAGATAGATAGATAGATAGATAGTTGATGTGGGGGGGGAGGGACACCTGGGTGGCTCAGTGGCTGAGCGCCTGCCTTTGGGTCAGGGTGTGATCCTGGATTCCTGGGTTCGAGTCCCACATTGGGCTCCTTGCGTGGAGCCTGCTTCTCCCTCTGCCTGTGTCTCTCATGAATAAATAAATAAAATCTTAAAAATAAAAAAAAAGTTGATGTGATACTACAAGGGACAGATTTGATTTTTTTTCTTTTAAAGATTTTATTTATTTATTTATTCATGAGAGACACAGAGAGAGGCAGAGACACAGGCAGAGGAAGAAATAACTTCTGCATTCATAAGCATCTATAAAATTATCACACACACAAAAAAACCCTTAAGTGGACCACTGACAGCCAGTCTCTAAAACCACATGTACTTTTTTGTAATAACCTACACCACTCAAATGTCCATCAGCATTAAAATGGGAAAATCGGGGATCCCTGGGTGGCATAGCAGTTTGGCGCCTGCCTTTGGCCCAGGGCGCGATCCTGGAGACCCGGGATCGAATCCCACATCGGGCTCCCGGTGCATGGAGCCTGCTTCTCCCTCTGCCTGTGTCTCTGCCTCCCTCTCTCTCTCTCTCTGTGACTATCATAAATAAATAAAAATTTAAAAAAAATTTTTTTTTTTTAAAAAAGGGAAAATCGCAGCCAACTACTGCAGCAGTGAGCACCGATGGACTGTTGTACATGGCGATGCTCTCAAATGTAACACTGAGCAAAAGAAGCCAGACACAAAGAAAGAGCACATGCTATGTCAGTCCATTACACCAAGTTCAAAACCAGGCACCACTAATCTAGGTGCTAACTAATCTAGGGTGAGGACGAGTCAGGAGAATAACTCCGACTTGCTGAGTTACTTCCAAAAAACTGTACCATCCTCTCCCTCTTTCTTCTCCAATCTTCTCTTCTGCCACAATACCCTCTCATAGGCCACTGCAGCCACACTGAAGCTGTCCCTCAAAAATACTGGATTCACTCCTGCCCCAGGGCCTTTGCCTTTACCGCTCCCTCTCCTTGGAATGCTGCTCCCCCAGATACTTGTTTGGCTAATTTCTTCACCTCCTTCAAGTCTTAGCTACAATTTCACTTCCTGGACAAAGGCTACCTGGAGCACCTTATGTAATAATGCAACCTCTACCTTCTAGCACCATTACCCTTAAATGCATAGCACTTGGCAATTTCTACCTATGAGAAAATAAAGGAAATTTTCAACTTTTGCTGTGGGCCCTGCTCCTGGTAAAACATTTACCCAGGGTCAAAATGACTTGGCAAAACCTCAAAGCATGGGTTCTGTTCCTGTCCCAAGTACACACTGTACAGCTGCTTCATTAAAAAACAAAAACAAAAACAAAAAGCAGCATTCCAAACATAAAGAAAAAAAACCTTGCTGATTCCCATTAGACTCCAGTCTTACAGCCTTTCTGGAAAGTGTTTCATCACGACTTATAACTCTTTATGTAAAACAAAAACAAAAACAAAAACGTATATACTCTTGCCCAACTGTTCCTTCCCTGGAGCACTCTCTTCTTTGTGAAGACTGTGTATTTCCAAGCAGCCATCTTAACTTGTGCCCAAATGAAACTTTTTTCTTTAAAAATTTTTAAAAAGGTTTGTTCATTTTGCATTGATACCTGCCACATGGTCTGCTTCACGATAATGCCTGTTTTTTAACATTAGAAAATGGGTGCGAGGGCAGAAATCTTTGTTGATTTTGTTCACTGCTAAGTCCCAAATGCTCAGAATACCAGGCACCTGGTAAACACTGCCTACTGAATGGATAGACAGAGGGCCCCAGAGGCTGAGGCCAGGGGGCAGCCATACCTTATCAATGTAGAAGTCAACTTCGGATGCCGACTGAAATTCACCATCAAGGGCAGAGATGCCACTGGTCCACACCAGGTTCTTCATCTTATGCTTGAAGACAAGGAGCTGGATCCTGAACTCCTGCTCTGTGAGGTCCAGGAAGCCGGCCAGCTTGGCCACAGGCATGGTAGTGTACAGCTTGAGGAAGCTACGGATGGTGGAGAGCTGGGCCTGCTGCTGCACTTCATCAGAAAACACCTTCAGCTGCTGCAGGAAGGGCTCCTTGTGGTAGTTGGGGTGCACATTATCATAGTTGGGCACCACAGGTGACAGGAATTTAGGGCACGAGTAGCTGAAAAGTTCCTCATAGACCTGTGGGTCACCCTTCTGCATGCGTAGCATCTTATCCCCATATTTCTCCCGCAGCTGCAGGTGAATGCTCTCATCGATTCGCATGGGGTACATGGTGAGGGCGATGGCCAGCAGCGCGTGCATCTGCTCATTTTGCTTGTTAATCTGGGGGTGTAAGAGAAATTGGTGCGGGGTCAAATGAGATAGACTTTCAGAGGTCCCACATCCAACGTGGCTCCACCACCCTCCCAAGTACACTATGCTCAGACCTCTGATTTCTCCCTGGTTTGCCTCAGTCAGTTAACCTTCCTGAAGTCTCTCCTAATCTGCCCTCTAGATCTACTGAACTTCTGGCCCACTTCCAGAGCCTCTGGAACTGGCTCCTAGATTCTTTTTTTTTTTTTTTTTTAAGATTTTGTTTATTTATTCATGAGACAGAGAGAGAGAGAGAGGCAGAGACACAGGCAGAGGGAGAAGCAGGCTCCTTGCAGGGAGCCCCACATGGGATTCAATCCCGGGTCTCCAGGATCATGCCCTGGGCTGAAGATGGCGCTAAACCACTGAGCCACCCAGGCTACCCTGGCTCCTGGATTCTTTAGTAGAGCCTTCTTCTCACTCTCCCTGGCCCACCACACTTCACTGGGACATCAATCCTCCCACATCATTATGACCAAGTCACCCAGAAACTCTGATGGCACCATAATGCCTATAAAGATTAAATACTTCAGCTGGGTAGTGAAGGTTACCCAGAACCAAAACCCCAATTTGACTAATATACGGCCCTCCAACAAAGTAGTTCATTGTGCTGCACTGTACTACACTGTACTACACTGTACTACAAGTTTCAGCACCTTTGCTCTGCCTAGATACCTTCCAATTCTATGCATGTCTTGGACCCTCCCTCCTCCATGGCAAACTGCTTGAGGGTTGTACCCCAACTAACTCACTTTAAAACACCCACAGTCCAGTGAACACTCAGCAAATTGTTGCTGAATAAATGTAAGCACTGCTGGGGGTCAAAAGTAAAACAAAAGATACTGTCCTTATCGTCAAGGAGTTCATGGTCTGAAATAATAGGCACAACAAAAGAAACTAAGAGTAGACCAGCCATTAAGAAATCATCCTACTGAAAGGACATATAAAAGGCAAAATTTTGGATAGCATTTACCAAAAACTGTTGGCATAGGTACCAAGACATCAAGCTGGTCAAAGGCTTCCTTACCATCTCATACTTGTATGTAGTCCTTTGAAACATGCTCTTGGTCCTTTGGATGTAGAGGAGGATATTGGCAAATACCCGGATGGCATCCTGGTAGCGACGCATCATCAAATATGCAAAACCGACATAGTAGTATGTGGTGACCTGGCACTCAGGCACACGAGAATACATACTCTGTGGAAGGAGGCAGAAGCATCCATAAGTCCCCAAATCAATACATCCCAGAGGGAGTCTGGAAGTTGGCAGGGTCCAGTGTCAGCTGAAGTGGAAGCCCCCTGTAGAAGTCCTGAACTACCCAGGGGAAGCCCTGGCTCTGGAGTTAGAGGCTCTGAATACAGATTATACCATTTACTAAATCATATGACCTGAGAACTCCATCTTGTTAGATATAATAAAAAGGGACTGGATCAGGTGACCTTAACATTTCTTTCAGCTCCATATCCCTCCACATCTCAGTTATGTATTCTTCCTTGCTTTCTACTCCTTGATTTTCCAGGTAAACCCAATAAAGAAACAGATCAACAAGTAAGACTGAATGATACATACACACGTGTCCAGAAAATACCAGTTTTTCTGTGGCTAAGAAAAAAACCACCACAGCTAATCATCATTATACTATCCTAGAACTAAGTCTTTCACAAATTCCTTAAATAGTGAAACCGGAGTAATAAAAATCTGCGTTATCATTGTTTTGAAAATAGAAAGACCGCTGAACATTTCAAGTATTACTAAGCAACAAAGAGAAAGCACCTTGTCCACATGCAAGTCTCAATTTTCAAATGGCCTGGGGAAGAATCTTCTTTTTGCTCCCTGAAATTTGTCCTTATAGATTCTCTCAAAGCAGAGTCTCTGGCTCTGGGTAGCAGGGCAGGGGGAAACAAGTAATCACCTTCTTATTTAGTTCAATATTCTCCAGCACCTTGATGGCCTGGTAGTAATCCCCTAAAAGGGAGTGCAGACGCAGAAGCCCCACCAGGCTGAAATACCCAAGCATCTTGTAAAGGGAGTGCCGTCCATACTCGCCAGCCACACTCTCGGGGTCACCTGAGAGAAACAGACATGGTGAACATTTCAGCAGGGGCAGGTGAAGGAAGGGAAGCCTGAGCCTTGAATATTAATCAACTCTTCACCTACTACTGGCCTCTAAAGCTTCCTGCAACAGGGAATAACTGCCTTCAAAGGAATACCCAGAAGCAACATGCCTGACCTTAAACTAATCTTTTTAAAGTAATCTCTATACCTAATGTGGGGCTCGAACTCATGACCCCAAGATCAAGATTACATGCTCTCGGGCAGCCCCGGTGGCGCAGCGGTTTAGCGCCACCTGCAGCCCAGGGCGTGATCCTGGAGACCCTGGATGGAGTCCCATGTCAGGCTCTCTGCATGGAGCCTGCTTCTCCCTCTGCCTGTGTCTCTACCTCTCTCTTTCTCTGCATTTCTATGAATAAATAAATAAAATCTAAAAAAAAAAAAATCACACATGCTCTATTGACTGACTGGCCAGGTGTCCCTGGCCTTATACTAATCTTAAATTTACCAACAGGAGTTGCGTGAGGGGAGTGGCTGTTGTGGTTTTTGGTTATTTTCTTGGTCCCAAGACACCTGAGAATATTGATGGCCCCCTTTTATCAGGAGCAGTTACTCATCAAGGCAACTACTTTCAATAAGTTCATGGGGTCAAAGCTATTTTCCTAATAACACTAAGATCCTATTTGTCTTTCTCACTAGAGTGAGATTTGCACTGATGGTGCAAAAACAACAGTGGGTACAAATGACTCACAACTTAGCATAAACCAGGCAGTGGTACCAAACTGCATTAGCAATTACTGTATTCTTTCCCTCACGCAGTAAAAGAACCAGCCACTTTTTTTCCACGAAAACCATTTTTACTTAAAAGAACGACTGACAAATTATGGTTACTTAGAGTATCTGGCAGACATTTTCTCATAAATGAATGAGGTGAGCCTGTTACATTTCAGTGAGAACTGACAGTGCCACTGCCAATGAAAATGTGAGCTTTTAAGCAAAAATCACAGTTTCCCATCCAAGTACTAACCAGGACCGACCCTGCTTAGTCAAAAATCATAGTTTTAAAAACGTTTATCTGCTACCCTGAGTCCAATAGCTTCCAAATACAGATTTATCTGATGACCAAAGTATTTTTTTTTTTTTTAGGTTGTATAATAAAATATGTCAGCCAGGGCACGTGGGTGGCTCAGTGGTTGAGCGTCTGCCTTTGGCTCAGGTTGTGATCCCAGGGTGCTGGGATTGAGTTCTGCATCGAGCTCCCTGCGGGGAGCCTGCTTCTCCCTCTGCCTAGGTTTCTGCCTCACTTTCTGTGTCTCTCATGAATAAATAAATAAAATCTTAAAAAAAAAAAGGCATTCAGAAAATCTTTATAACTCAATAAACCAGTATTTTACAAAATTGTGCAGCATAAAAAGATCCTTTCAAGCTGCAGGATAGACCAATACACCTTAACATAACAAAGTAAAAGTTTGTTGCTAAGGTTCCAGATTCCTCATCGCAATTCACAAATACAAAACTCCCAATATCAAGTTTGGATGTGGTAACAAAGAACATCAGAACCACCTGAAAAAGCTGTTAAGATACTCCTCGCTTTCCCAACTCCAGGTCTGAGTGAGGCCAGATATCCCTCATATATTGTACCACATACTGTAATTGCTGAATACAGTAATTGCTGAATATGGAAGTACACTGAGAATCCAGCTTCTTTACAGAGCCAGGCACTAAAGAGATTTCCAAAAATGGCACTCTTCTCACAGGGAAAATGAATATATATATAGATATATAAATATAGATAGATAAATGCTGTGATTCTCACTCTTTAAAGACTGTACAGCAGTTCTGACACCAAAAAGCGTGAGAAGTGCTTGGCTACATAAAGCTCCTGGAGACACAGTAGAAGCATCGGCAAATCAGACCACCTGAGTGCTGGTCTGTCAACCCACAGAATGCCAAGCCCAACATTCCTCAACATCAGCACTTGGCTACTGTTCACACCCAACACCAAAGAGAAGCAGCCCACAGCCTAAGCCATGGCGACTCCCCTGGGCTGCATGCGGCCTCTCTTCCACTGGACAGATAGCAAGCAGCGCTTACCACCACTTGTGTACACCTCCAATTGCCGGTTAATGTTGGATTTGTCGACCAGGGAGTGGAGGACATTGAGGACACTGTGAACATTCCAGATTTTGGGATTGGAGCGAAGGAAGTCAATCTCTTCCTCTGACTTCTTGGCAGTCTTACAGCGGTACTGGCTGAATGACTGAAACTGTTGAGGAAGAAGGGAGAGAGGCAGCAGTGGTACACAACAGGAAGTGTGGGGTGGCGCTGGGCGGCATGCGCACTGCATCTCATGCTAAACTGGTCTGTACACTACTTGTTTCTGCAAAGTATCTCTGATTAAACTCAATTTGTGGGAAGCCTGAGTGGCTCAGTGGGTTAGGTGTCTGCCTTCGGCTCAGGTCATGATCGGGGGCGGGGGGTGGGGTGGGGAGTGGGGGGTCCTGGGATTGAGCCCACATCGGGCTCCCTCCTAAGGGGAGCCTGCTTCTCCCTCTCCTCCCCACTTTATAGTATCTTAATCTCTCTCTCTCAAATAAATAAAATCTTTAAAAAAAACTTAATTTTATTCAATACTGAATTCTGTCATTTCTCCACAGCTAAGTAAAAATCTCTAAGATGAAAGGTAGTCTGTGAAAAACATACTCAATTTGGGGTCAAGGGCACCTGGGTGGCTCAGTGGTTGAGCATCTGCCTTTGGCTGAGGTCATGATCCCAGGGTCCTGGGATGGAGTCCCGCACTGGGCTCCCCACAGGGAGCCTGCTTCTTCCTCTGCCTCTCTCTCTGTGTCTCTCATGAATCAATAAAATCTTAAAAAATTGGAGGTCCAACACAGCCTGGAGCCATGTAATGTCTCTAAGCTTCATAATGCAGTTAGCCTGGCTGTCAGAATGGAGTGGCTTATAATTCATCTTCCTCAGGACGCCTGGGTGGCTCAGCAGGTTGAGTGTCTGCCTTCAGCTCTGGGTGTGACCTCGCAGTCCCAGGATCGAGTCCCACATTGGGCTCTCTGCATGGAGCCTGCTTCTCCCTCTACCTGTTTCTCTGCCTCTCTCTCTCTCTCTCTCTCTCTCTCTGTGTGTCTCTCATGGATAAGTAAAATATTTTAAAAATGAACAAAAAACCCCTGATCTTCCTCTACATGGCTGGGCTGTGCCTGAGTCAGGATTACGAATAATGACAAGGTAGAGACAGGGTAGGTCTGTATGTGCATGTCTTGCCTACTGGAGTTGACCATCCATTCACTGGGGACAGGAACGCAGTCTGAGTTACCGCTGTACCAACCACAGAGCTTCGTCAAGTGGAAGGTACATCTCGGGCCCACATCACATGCATTTTTTAAGGCAGTGGTTCTCCATCAGTCACACAGAGCACAGAGACCTACCCACTCAATCAGTGTTAGTTAGTTAGTTATAAAGATTTTATTTATTTATTCATGAGAGACACACAGAGAGAGGCAAAGACACAGGCAGAGGGAGCAGCAGACTCCATGCAGGGAGCCCGACGTGGAACTCGATCCCAGGTCTCCAGGATCCCGCCCTGGGCTGAAGATGGCACTAAACCGCTGAGTCATCTGGGCTGCCCTCAACCAGTTTTTAAAAGCTCTTGGGGGATCCCTGGGTGGCGCAGCGGTTTGGCGCCTGCCTTTGGCCCAGGGCGCGATCCTGGAGACCCGGGATCAAATCCCACGTCGGGCTCCCGGTGCATGGAGCCTGCTTCTCCCTCTGCCTATGTCTCTGCCTCTCTCTCTCTCTCTGTGACTATCATAAATAAATAAAAAAAATTACCTTTAAAAAAAAATAAAATAAAAGCTCTTGGGTAGGGGTACCTGGGTGGCTCAGTGGTTGAACATCTGCCTTCAGCTCAGGGCATGATCCTGGGGTCCTGGGATCGAGTCCCGCATCAGGCTCCCCCTGGGGAGCCTGCTTCTCCCTCTGTGTCTCTGCCTCTCTGTGTCTCTCAAGAATACATAAATAAAATCTTAAAAAAAAAAGAGCTCTTGGGTCGATTCTGGTGTACACCAGGTTTATTTATTTATTATGTATTTATTTTTAAAGATTCTATTTATTTGTTCATGAGAGACACACAAAGAGAGAGAGAGATATAATACAGGCAGAGGGAGAAGAAAGTTCCTTGAAGGGAGCCCAATGTGGGACTCAATTCCCAGACCCGGGATCTGAGCCGAAGTCAATCGCCCTGAGTCGAAGTCAATCGCTCAACCACTGAGCCACCCAGGCATCCCGTACACCAGGTTTAGAAACCTAGAATATAGGTCTTAGATGACCCAGGAATGCTCTTCAACTCCAAATTACCACTTTCCTCTAAGAACACAAGAAAAGGTTTCCAAATTTATAACAGAAGAGTAACCAGGATATAGAACAAATTCTCAAAATTCATTAAGATAATCCAATAGAGGGGATCCCTGGGTGGCGCAGCGGTTTGGCGCCTGCCTTTGGCCCAGGGCGCGATCCTGGAGACCCGGGATCGAGTTCCACATCGGGCTCCCGGTGCATGGAGCCTGCTTCTCCCTCTGCCTGTGTCTCTGCCTCTCTGTCTCTCTCTGTGACTATCATAAAAAAATAAAAAAAAAAAAAATTAAAAAAAAAAAAAGATAATCCAATAGAAAAATGGACAAAGGATCACTTCAAAGAAAACCAAGGTTGGTCAAATAACAGGGAAAATGCCTGATATCTTACTGTTAGGAGGGAAATGCAAATTGAAATGAGATTACCATTTCTTTCCCAACAGACAAAAATTAGACCAATTACATCCACAGCAGAGAAAAATTCTCAAATGCTTCTGTTAGCTGTGTAATTTGATACAACCGTTAACAAGATACTACTATTTATTAAAATCCAAAGTGATTATGTTCTGTATGTTGACTATAGTGGTGTACATATTTGTTAAGTCTCATCAACAGTACATTTAAAACCGGTATTTCACTGTAATCAAGTTTGCTTTATTTTTTAGATTTTATTTATTCATGAGAGACACACACAGAGAGAGAGAGAGAGAGAGGCATAGACACAGGCAGAGAGAGAAGCAGGCTCCATGCAGGGAGCCTGACATGGGACTCGATCCCAGTTCTCCAGGATCACACCCTGGGCTGAAGGCAGCACTAAACTGCTGAGCCACCCGGACTGCCCTGTAATTAAGTTTTGACTCTATAAAGCTGATTTTAAAAAACTTAAAAAGTAAGGCACCTGGGTGGCTCAGTCAGCTAAGCATCTGACTCCTGATTTTGGCTTTAGGTCATCATCTCAGGGTTGTGAGACTGAGTCCTGCATTGGCTCTACGATGGGCATAGAGCCTGCTGGGATTCTCTCTTTCCCTCTGCCCCTGCCTGTCTCCTCCCTTGGGCTTATGTGTGTGCGCGCTCGCTCGCTCTCTCAAAAACAAAAAAAAAACCTTAAAAGCAAAAATCCTTCAACCAACAATTCTACATTTGGTGATGTCAAGATAGACCTATGTGTGACACATACAAGGATATCATTGACTATTTATAGTAGTGGAAACTGAACACCCTCACGTTCATCACAAAAAGGGTGGTATATCCATATTGTGTACACGGCAGAGAAGAACAAAGCCATCTCTATGCAGACATGTTAAGTGTTCCAAATCAAAACAAATTACACAATATACCATTTTTAAATGGTGTATTTTATATATACACATTTATATAAATGCTTTAAAAGGGTGAATGTGGTGCCTATCTTTTCAGACAGTAACCTATGCCTCTGAAAAGTCAAGGAAGACACTTATATACAAAGTTTTCAAACAGTAACGACACATTCACGTTAATACCTGAACTGATAAAAATGAAAGCAGAGTGGTGGGGAAAAGCCACTTAGCCCATGTGACAGCTACCTGGCCTGCACTGGTCCGGTCTTTGTTACGAGTGAGAGCATGTTAAGTCCCTTAACAAGAGAATACCAGCTAAACCCAAGGGATTATGATAATCTTATGAAGGATGAAGAATCTCAGCACGGATGATCCTCCTTTGACTTGCTGTGAGTCTGAGTCGACAGGAACTGCCAACCTTCTAAAATTATGCCAAAGAAGGGGCTGACACAAGCCTAGGAGCCAGAAGACAAAGGCCAGCATGGTTTGTGGTCTTCTCTGCACAAAGGGACTGAAGCCTTATCTTGAGCAGGAAGCCTCTCTCTCAAAGGGCCCTTGGAGGGCTCGCCCAGTGTACCAATCACAACTTGCCTGTACTCTGTAAGCCTCTTTGGTCCCCGCAACTCAAATAACAGCTTTATTAAGAAACTGATTTCTTGGGATCCCTGGGTGGTGCAGCGGTTTGGCGCCTGCCTTTGGCTCAGGGCGCGATCCTGGAGACCCGGGATCGAATCCCACATCGGGCTCCCGGTGCATGGAGCCTGCTTCTCCCTCTGCCTGTGTCTCTGCCTCTCTCTCTCTCTCTCTGTGTGTGACTATCATAAATAAATAAAAGTTTAAAAAAAAAAAAAAAAGAAACTGATTTCTTCTGAAATACCCAGTGAGTTATATCATCCCCATAAAACTCATGGAAAACAAGTATTTTTCCAAATCCAATCATTTTTTTTAAAAGATTTTATGTTTTTATTGGGGGAGGAAGGGGGAGCGGGAGGGAGGAGGGGGAGAGAAAGTGCATGCGCACACACACCTGCACCTAAGAGGGGAGAGAGAAGCCTCCCCTCTGAGAATGGAGTGGACATGGGCTCAATCTCGGGACCCCAATATAAGGACCTGAGCCAAAATTAAGAGTCAGCTGCTCAACTGACTGAGAATCCAGGCGCCCCTCAGTTATTGTTTTTAAGTCTACATTCTATTTCTGAAGAATCAATCTGAGAGATACCTGGGTTCTCTGTCGGTTGAGCCGCCGAATCTTGATTTCAGCTTGATCCTTATCTTGGGGTCCCAGGATCAAGCTCTGTGTCTGCTCCACTCTGAGGGAAGTCTGCTCCCTCTTCCTCTCCCCCACTGCTCTCTCTCTCTCCCCCTCTAAAATAAATAAACCTTGGGATGCCTGGGTGGTTCAGCAGGTTGAGCATCTATATACTTTCAACTCAGGTCATGATCCCAGAGTCCTGGGATGGAGCCCCGAATTGGGGCTCTCTAGTTCTGTCAAACAAATAAAATCTTAAAAAAGATTTTTTTTTTTTTAATGAGCTAAAAGAAGGTGGTAAAGAATGATAATATTTATCAGCGTAAAAATAAGGCAGTATTTCTTGATTATTCTATGGCAGGCACTGTACTAAGCACCTTTATCTTTTTACTCTATTTGTTTATTTTTTAGGTAGGCTCCACATCCAATGTGGAGTCCAATGCAAAGCTTGAACTCATGATCCTGAGATTAAGATGTGAGCTAAGGGATCCCTGGGTGGCGCAGCGGTTTAGCGCCTGCCTTTGGCCAGGGCGCGATCCTGGAGACCCGGGATCGAGTCCCACGTCAGGCTCCCGGTGCATGGAGCCTGCTTCTCCCTCTGCCTGTGTCTCTGCCTCTCTCTCTCTCTCTCTCTCTCTGTGTGACTATCATAAATAAATAAAAATTAAAAAAAAAAAAAGATGTGAGCTAAGATCAAGAACTGGATACTTAACAGACTGAGCCATCCAGGCACTGCTGAACTAAGCAGTTTATTTTTTATTTTTTTTTAATTTGTATTTATTTATGATAGTCACACAGAGAGAGAGAGAGAGGCAGAGACATAGGCAGAGGGAGAAGCAGGCTCCATGCACCGGGAGCCCGACGTGTGATTCGATCCCGGGTCTCCAGGATTGCGCCCTGGGCCAAAGGCAGGCGCTAAACCGCTGCGCCACCCAGGGATCCCACTTTTTTTTTTTTTTTTTTGATTTTTATGAACTAAGCAGTTTAGATGTCATTTCCAGTAATGTTCCCAATAATCCCTATATTAGAGAAACTGAGGCACAGTGTGGTTAAGTAATTTGCTTGAGGTCCCAGGTTAGTTAACAGCAAGACTTGAAAATTATATCCCGGGGATCCCTGGGTGGCGCAAGTGGTTTGGCGCCTGCCTTTGGCCCAAGGCATGACCTGGAGTCCCGGGATCGAGTCCCACATCAGGCACCCTGCATGGAACCTGCTTCTCCCTCTGCCTGTGTTTCTACCTCTCTCTCTGTGTGTCTCTCATGAATAAATAATAAAATCTTTAAAAAAAAAATTATATCCCTAGGCTACACAGCCACCTGTACTCTACATCCGACACAGTTCTTAGTAGAACCTCAACAACAGCATCCAAGGTAGCTAACATTTCTGTTTTGATTATAATAGTCTTCTTTATTCTGACCTAGTATATACTCAAGTAACCACTACAATCAAGATACAGAACATTTCTGTTTTGTAGGAGAGGAAAATATAAATTGGAGAGCTTAAATAACAAGCCAGTGTTACCAATGGCAGTCCCCAAACTAGCACCAACTTGCTTCTACCTGACTCCACCTGACTAAGGCTTCTGAAGCCTTTATTTTTCCAATCAGATCAACTCTCAAGATCAGGTTAAGAGCTTAGTCAAAGTCAGTTCAACTCTGCTGGCTTCCAAGTTCACATCCAGAGATCTTAAGCCTGACTCTTCAGAAAACCATGACATCAAAGACCACCACTATGGGATATTTCCCACAGTGAGGAGACATTTTTATCCCAAGTAGGTTTTTAACAACGCAAACAATGTTAACAGCTGCTCCTTTGTTGGACGAGTTATTTCAAATTAGACCAAGACTGGCCAGATACCTGATAGATGAACTCATCAATGATATCCCAAAGCCACTGGTTAGGTAGTTCAAGGGGAGCAGGACCATCAGCATCTGTGTGGGAGATCACAGAAAAGTCAGAGTCAAAGCAATGACTATGCTCACTCAGTAAGCCTACAGAATGCATTTTGTCATTATTCTCTTAAGACAACTCTGAATCACAAGATATTCCCCTTCCCATTCCTATATTAAAATACTGCTAAAAAGAGCTGGAGGCCAACACTATGCCTCATCATAGCCTCACATCCTTGGCCAAACGTCAGACTTACTAAGAATGGGGATGCCTGGGTGGCTCAGCGGTTTAGTGTCTGCCTTTGGCCCAGGATGTGATCCTGGAGTCCCAGGATCGAGTTCTACATCAGGCTTCCTGCATACATCCTGCTTCTCCCTCTGCCTATGTCGCTGCCTCTGTGTCTTTCATGAATAAGTAAAATCTTTAAAAAAAGAAAAAAAAAAACTTACTAAGAATGTAGTTGAAGAGATTGCAGTAGTTGTAGTAGGATTCAAACCTCTGCTCCAAGGAGGGGCCCCCCTGTAAAGAGAACAGAAACATCAGGACGGATATTTAATTTAAATGTGTTTTACTCATGATCTGCCATGACAGCTGAACACACGAGAACTAATGCCTACTCTTACCTTCTTAGTATACAAAGAGCGCTCAAGTCAGAGGGAAGACTAAGTACTAGAGCATTTCAAAAGGACACTGAGTACCTGACCACAATGATCAGGCCTTATAACAACCTCAACTGACTGTTTCAGAACAAGTACGCAGACTTGAAGCAAAAAGATGGAAGTACAGACAAAAGCAAAGAAGTAAAATCACGGGCTTAAAGGATAGTGAAGAAGAGCAAGTAATGCTACACTAGGCTACACTGGACTACAATAGAGGTCTTTCAGTCCCAACAGGAATTAAGGCCAGGGAGGTTCGGCAAATCCACCTGTTTTGCTCAACAGGAATATAGCCATGTGTACTCAATGTTTATGGCTGCTACAAAGGCAAAGCTGAATAGATTCAACAGAGACCATTATGGCCTCAAAGCCAAAAAACCATCTGGCCTTCACACAGAAGGCTGCTGATTGCCCAGAATCTAGACTTGATGTTGCTGGCAACTGAGAACCACTCCAGATTTCTGAGCTGGGGAACACAACACTATCTGTAATGAACTTAGAAAAAACACGGCCTTGGAATTTTAGTTCCAGTGCTTATTAACTGTGAGCTTCGGACAAGGTATTCCATTTCTCTGTAGCATGAGACTATGAAGTTAAAGTGCCCAATATAGTAAAGGCTCTTTCAATGAACTGCCCCCTCCCCGGGGTGGGGGGTGGAGTGTTTCAAAACTATGTTATATATCAGAGTACCCTGTCCAGTACCTGACAAAGAGAGACCATAGAGTTAATAAACTTCTGCTGAATCTTCCAAAGGGAAGATCAGAGGTAGTAACACCAGCTGTATTAGGGGTTCTGATGCCATGGCCTTCCCAAAGAAGCTATGTTATACAGGTTAGCTAGATTCTCAACCTAGCCCACAAGGCACCTGAGCTAGAGTATCAATGATAGAAGGGAATCTTTACTTTCTATCAGATAAGGTAGTCAGAGATCTCACCAGGATGCCAGAAAATGTGGCCCCCTGCATTACTCCGACAACAGGAACTCCTCCAGCTACCACTGACAGTGGCTACTGTGGCAAGGTAGGAGCTCTAGCCAGGTCAAGTGGTCCTCAGGGGGATGAAAGCTGAGTAACTGTGAGAAAGTGGAAACACTCTAAGGAAAGATCATGATGCCGAGTTCCTTCATTTACACAGATACACTCGTGCTCCAACAAGTAACCTGTCACTATCAAGAATTAGGCACCAGATTATAGCAGTGACAACATAAAGTCCATGCACTAGTAGAGTTTCACCCTCTAGTAAGGGTAGCAAACAAAAACCAAGTAAACAATACAATGTTACCTAGTGACAAGTGCTCTCTGAAACACCAGAGTATGGCCAGGAGCCCAAGAAAGGAGGGAAAGTTGCAGGAAATGAAACCGGCAAGGGAGTCAGGGGCCAGGTCAAGCAGGACTATGACTAAGACCTGGATTTTATTCTAAATGTGAGATGGGAAGTCATGGTACGATGAGGGCGGTCGTAACTTGATGAGACTCTTTCAAAGGAATCATGTGGTTTTAGGCTAAGAATAAACTCAGAAGAGTGGAAACTGACCCCAGGTAAGCAGCTACACAGTTCAAGCAAGAGATGATAACGCCTTAAACTAGTAGGGTAGTAATAGCGGTGGTGGTGAGAAGCGGGTAGTTTCAAGAAGTATGTTGAAGATAGAGCTAAACAAGATTTGCTACAAGGTTGGAAGTCAAGTGAGAGAAAAGTCAAGAATGAGGCCAAGGTTTTTAGTCTAAGCCACTTGGCTGAATGGAGTGTTATTTATTGAGTTGGCTGACATGAAAAAAGTTTAAAAGGAAAATAAGACTTTAGTTTCAGGTATGTTAAACTTGAAATGGGGTGCCTGAGTGGCTCAGTTGGTTATGCGTCTGATTTTGGCTCAGCTCATGATCTGAGCGTCCTGGAATGGAACCCAACATTGGGCTCCCTCCTCGGTGGGGGAAGTCTATCTGTCCCTCTGTCCCTCTCCCTGCTCATTCTAAGAAATAAGTAAAACTTAAAAAAATAAAAAAATAAAAAAGAGCTATACAGCTCTTTTATACAGCTAAGTGGAGATGTGGTGTAGGCAGCTGGATATACAAGTATGGATTTGGAGAGACGGGCTAAAGATAGAGATTTTCAGTCATTGTGTATATAAATAGTACAAATGGTTACTTTAAGAGATTCAGGCATTCTAAAATTCAGAAATGACAGAAGAATCACACAAGTGCCCAAAGTTGGGAGAGTATGATATAAAGAACACTGGCATCATAGTAACCCAGGCCTGGGTTCAAATAGTTTTGCCACTTACTCCTTACATGAATTTAAGAAAAAGCAACCTCTTTGCACCTCAGTTTGCCTGCTTTGCAGGATTACTTTGAGGATTAGACTATAAATGGTTGCCAAGTGCCTAACATTATACCTGGCACGCAGCCATGGTTTCATGTGTGTTTCAGAGAGCAGAAGGCTGGTAGCATTGAAGGTAAAATGCAAGGGCATCACAAGCAGAGGCAACAGAAAGTGTTTGGGAACACACCATTAAGATGGAAGGAATCCTTTTTTTTTTTTTTAATATTTTATTTACTTATTCATGAGAGAGAGAGAGAGAGAGAGAGAGAGAGAGAGAGGCAGAGACACAGGCAGAGGGAGAAGCAGGCTCCATGCAGGGAGCCTGATGTGGGACTCGATCCCAGGTCTCCAGGATCACACCCTGGGCTGAAGGCGGCGCTAAACCGCTGAGCCACCTGGGCTTGCCCAAGATGGAAGGAATCCTGCAACCAAATCAATGTAATGAGTGCTGAGCCAGGAACTGCAGGGATGGAGAAAATTAAGGACAGACAAGCTCTGCCATGCTAGTTTGTTTAAGACAGACACCCAGCTTGCTGGATTCAATAATTCCCTGTCATATCTTAAAAGAACCCTCAGAAAACATGCCAACCACTCTTGGACATTGAACCAATAGAAGCTAATGATTGTGTTCTAAAGGCAAAAATGGCATGGAACCAACAACATTCAGATACTCACACTGACTTTGGCATATATGTGCCTGTAATATAATTCTTTGTACAAAATCAGGAAGACGGCATCTGAAAGAGATGGCAAAGAGCTGCTTTTAGTAATCCACAAAACGACTAGTCTTCAGGCAGTTTTAGCCCCCCCCCTTAAAAGATTTTATTTATTCATGATAGGCTCAGAGAGAAAAGCACAGATACAGAGGGAGAAGTAGGCTCCCAGCAAGGAGCCCCATGTGGGACCTGATCCTGACCCCAGGGTCACTCCCCGAGCCAAAGGCACATGCCCAACCACTGAGCCACCCAGGCATCCCAAGCCCTTTGAAGGGAACAGAGGCATAAACATGATTTAAGAGACAAAATAACTTCTAAATTCTATACTTACACCCTAAGAATACACGCAACAAGAAAACTCCTCTCTCGTTTTATCTTTCAACCTCATCTTAATCTCATCCAGACCCATTTCCCTTCACCATTTAGAGATTTTTGTCATCCAGTTGCTTAATAAACACATAAATAAATAGTAATACCTTCAAAGACAGCAATGCAACATTATCCAAAGTGCAAATACATGGGTATTTTTGACTCAAATTCTACTTTAAAGAATTTATCCTACTGATATGATACAACCACTAAAAAGGAGGAGGGTAGAAAAAGAAGTTCTTTGGGTATTTTGGGTACTATACAGAAAAGAATTAACAAAGGAGGTCTGAGACTTCTATCCTCTGGCTAGTAAAGTCGGTCCTTGGCTGGCATGTGGAAACCTGGATTTCAGGAGGGGCCCCAGCACACTGACAAGGGCAATCTGCTGAGGCTAAACTGTGCAACTCTATGGTTTATGCTGAACTCCTGCCTTCCTTCTGGGAGTCTGGAATTTTGGCACCTGCTAGGCAGAGGGTGTGCCCATATGACCAGCGCCCAGTAAAATACTTGAGACACCAAGTGTGTTATAAGCTTCTCTGACAGACAAGTTTTCACGCATGTCACAATTCCTTGCATGAGGAATTAAGCACATCCCATGTAAAGTCACAGGAAAGGACGATTTGTAACATGTACCTGGTTTCCTTTGGATTCCACTGTGCGTGCCCTTTCCCTTTGCTGATTTTGCTTTGTATCCTTTTGCTGTAAACCCTCATACCTGTAGGTACAGCCATACCCAGAGTCCTGGGAGGTGTCCTAGCAAATCATCAATCCTGGGAGTGATCTTGGGAATCCTAAGATGAAGAATACTCTCCAAAAATATGATAAACTTTAAAAAGGGAAGAAAACAGGGCAGCCCCGTGGTGCCGCGGTTTAGCGCCGCCTGCAGCCCAGGGTGTGATCCTGGAGACCAGGGATCAAGTCCCATGTCGGGCTCCCGCATGGAGTCTGCTTCTCCCTCTGCCTGTGTCTCTGCCTCTCTCTCTGTGTGTCTCTCATGAATAAATAAATAAAATCAAATAAAAATAAATAAATAAATAAAATAAATAAAAAATAAATTAAAAGGGAAGATAACGGCATTTGGTCTATGTAAAAAAGAAATAAACAAGTACGTACCAAGCCCTGGGAAGACTAAACAGCAAGCAAAACAGCTTGTCTTGAGCTTCCTCAGGACCCCTCAGTTACAGAATCCCATCCAGCATACAGAACACAAGGAACTCATACCTACCGTTGCCAACCTGTGGAGCTATGGCTTCAGCCTCAGGCCAAGGTGTATTCTTGAAGAACCTTTCAGTCAACTTGGTCCAGCTGAAAACAAAGCAGAAAAACTCTAGAACTCCAAAACATGAAGGACCAGAGAAAAGGCAACCCACACATTTTACAGATAAGGACCCAGGCTCACAAAGACATCATAGAAACAAAGTCAGGGCCAGAGCCTTCAAGTCTACAACTTTCCTCAACTCAACTTTGCACCTCAACTCTTAATACAGTGAATACTCCTTTTTATCGACTAGACAACCACCGTGTTCTTCAGGATCATTTCCTGCCTCTGTATCATGAACTCTCCTCATACTTACCAGCCTGCTGTTCCCTAATCTGGTAACCACTTTTTATTTTTTTTTAATTTTTATTTATTTATGATAGTCACACACACACACACAGAGAGAGGCAGAGACATAGGCAGAGGGAGAAGCAGGCTCCATGCACCAGGAGCCCGACGTGGGAATCGATCCCGAGTCTCCAGGATTGCGCCCTGGGCCAAAGGCAGGCGCCAAACCACTGCGCCACCCAGGGATCCCCTGGTAACCACTTTTTAGATACTACTAACCTTCTCCCTTACCAATACTTTCCCTACTTTCCCAGAGCACTGTGCCTCCTCCTCCCCTGCCCAATCTTGGAAGAAATCAATCTGTTTGTTGTGGTCTGATGCTACAACAGACCCACACCATCCAACCCTAACACTGCTACCCAAGATACCTCACAGCCCTCTAGGAGGTCTCTGTTCAATTTCCCTCCTGACCCCTCAGGAGTGACTTCAACTTTACCCCACTCTCCTTAAACACCATCTGTCTTCTCCAGATCTTTCAGTTCAGCACAGAAACATGCTCAAGTCCCCCCTTCAAGACATGTAGCAAAACACAAAGTATCTCGGGATGCCTGAGTGGCTCAGTGGTTGAGCATCTGCCTTCAGCTCAGGGTATGAACCTGGGGTCCTAGGATCGAGTCCTACATGGGACTCCCTGCGGAGAGCCTGCTTCTCCCTCTGTCTCTCTCTCTCTCTCTCTCATGAAAAAAATAAAATCCTTTTTTTTTTAAGATTTTTTTCATTCATTCATGAGAAAAAGAGAGAGAGAGAGAGAGAGAGAGAGAGAGAGAGAGAGAGAGGCAGAGGGATCCCTGGGTGGCGCAGCGGTTTGGCGCCTGCCTTTGGCCCAGAGCACGATCCTGGAAACCCGGGATCGAGTCCCACGTCGGGCTCCCAGTGCATGGAGCCTGCTTCTCCCTCTGCCTGTGTCTCTGCCTCTCTCTCTCTCTTTGTATGACTATCATAAAAGAGAGAGAGAGAGAGAGAGAGAGAGAGAGAGAGAGAGGCAGAGACACACGCAGAGGGAGAAGCAGGCTCCATGCAGGGAACCCAATGCGGGACCTGATCCCAGGAGTCCGGGATCATGCCCCCAAAGGCATATGCTCAACCGCTGAGCCACCCAGGGATCCCAAAATAAGTATTTAGAAAAAAAAAAAAAAAACCCACATACAATACATCTCAATAACACTGTATTTCCTTTTTCTTTTTTTTTTTTAATTTTAATTTTTTTTTTTTTTTTTTTTTTTTATGATAGTCACAGAGAGAGAGAGGCAGAGACACAGGCAGAGGGAGAAGCAGGCTCCATGCACCGGGAGCCCGACGTGGGATTCGATCCCGGGTCTCCAGGATCGCGCCCTGGGCCAAAGGCAGGCGCCAAACCGCTGCACCACCCACGGATCCCTTCCTTTTTCTTTTTAAGAAATTTTATTAATTTCTTCACGAGAGGCACACAGAGAGAAGAGACAGAGGGAGAAGCAGGCTCCCTGTAGGGAGCCCGATGTGGTACTCGATCCCGGGACTGCAGGATCGGAACCTGAGCTGAAGGCAGACACCCAACCGCTGGGCCACTCAGACATCCCCAGATCACTGTACTTTCCAAGGCACAAGCCATTCTTCTCACCACACGTTCTCCTACGAAAAGATCTACCATGTATTTGCCTTCAACTCTGGTCCCTACCTGCCTGTACTGTCCAATACAGTAATCATTTGCCACATGTGATTATTCTGCCTGAAGAATCAAATTTCAAATTTTGGTTAATTTTAACAATCAATCAATCTATCAATTTAATTAAAAAACTAGTACTTAACTCAGTTACTGGAAAGCTTTCAAGCACATTTAGAATCACCTGAATCTGCTTTTTCTATCATAAATGTTATGAAATCTAAACAGAGATCAGGTATTTCCAAAACACATGAATTGAGATGTCATTTATTTATTTATTTATTTATTTATAAGATTTTATTTATTCATGGAGGAGAGAGAGAGAGAGAGAGAGAGAGAGAGAGGGAGGGAGGGAGGCAGAGACACAGGCAGAGGGAGAAACAGGCTTCCTGCAGGGAGCCCGACATGGGATTCGATCCGGGGTCTCCAGGATCACACCCCAGGCGGCAGGCATCACTAAACAACTGCGCCACCAGGGCTGCCCTGAGATGTGGTTTAAATACAAATGATGTGTTTTAAAAGACTTGATAAAAAAAAAAAGTAAACTCATTAACAGTCTGATACTAATTATGTGTGGTATAACATTTAAGATGAAGTAAATCATTAAAATTAATTTTACCTGTTGCTTGTTAGTTGGCTTTTCTAAAAGATTTTATATATTTATGTATGTGACAGCTAGCGAGAGCATATGCATACACAAGGAGGCAGAGTGGCAGGCAGAGGGAGAGGGAGAAGCAAGCTCTGAGTAGAGAGCCTAATGCAGGGCTCAATCCTGGGACATTGGGATCATGGTCTGAGGCAAAGGCAGACGCTCAACTCACTGAACCACCCAGGTGCTGGGTTTTTTGTTTTGTTTTGTTTTTAAAGATTTTAAGTAATCTCTACACTCAAGTGTGAGGCTCGACCTCACCACCTTAAGAGTCACGCTCCACCAACTGAGCCAGACAAGCACCCCTCTTTTTACATTTTTTAAACATAGTCAATAAAAAAAATTACACATGTAGCTAGGATTACTTTTTTTTTTTAAGATTTTATTTTCTTTAAATATTTTATTTATTCATGAGAGGCAGAGACACAGGCAGAGGGAGAAGCAGGCTCCATGCAGGGAGCCCGACGTGGGACCCGATCCCAGGTCTCCAGGATCAGGCCCTGGGCTGAAGGCGGCACTAAACCGCTGAGCCACCCGGGCTGCCCAAGATTTTATTTATTTATTTGAGACAGAGAGTGTGAGAGCGAGCATGAATGGAGTGAAGAGCAGAAGCAAAGGGAGAAGCAGACTCCTTGCTGAGCAGGGACCCTGACTCAGGGCTCAATCCCAGAACCCTGGGATCCTGACCTGAGTTGGAGGCAGATGCTTAACCAACTGAGCCACTGAGGCTCAGTATTATTTCTATGGGACAGCACTGATCTTATACACTTCTAACTAGAAAGACCTGAAGATGAAGGAAAAAAGAGTTCAGGGATTAATTCTATTCAATGATCCAAACAGTCTTTGGCCATTCATTTTGTCCACTCTTCCTCCCAGAAAATTAGTTTTAACATTAAGTTTATTTTTAAGTAATCTCTACACTGAACATCATGCTCAAACTCATGACCCGAAATCAAGAGTCACATGTTCTTCCAACGGAATCAGCCAGGCACCCCTCCCAGGAATTGTTTAAATTCTGTATCTTTGGTGAAATCTTTACTGACCATCTCAACCCTGACTATCCTGTTTCATCTCTAATGCCAATTACACAGGGCAATCCCCTCAAAACAGAAGCAACCACTCAAAGGTTGGCTCACCCTGCTATGCGTGAAGTTGTATAGAATTTAAAAATTAGGCTCTGGGGGCACCTGGGTGGCTTGGTCACTTCAGTATCTGCCTTTGGCTCCGGTCATGATCCCAGAGTCCTAGGATCAAGCCCCACGTCCAGCTCTCTGCTGAGCAGAGAATCTGTTTGTTTCCCTCTGCCCCTCTCCCTGCTCCTTCGCTCTCCTTCTCCCTCTCTCTCTCAAATAAATAGTATCTTGAAAAAACAAAGGGCTCTTATGTCAGACTGTGCAGGTTCAAAATTCAACACACACTCAGCTAGCTATGTGACTTACACTTTCTATGCTTTGTTTCCCTCATCTGTAAGGTAAAGAAAACAATACTACCTACTTCATGGGGTTACTGTGAAGAGTAATGAGTAAATATGGGAAAAGCATTCTGAACACTGCCTAATCTATACTGATCAGACATACTAATACCTGCTATAATTACTGATAGTGATATTATTATTTTAGGTCCTATAGGAGTTCTGGGAATACAGTCCAACAAAATAACATTTCTCCCTCAAGGAATCACAGAAACCCCATGGGCACTCTCTTTACAGAGTAATGATTAAACAGCCCCTTTTAAGGGGCTGCATCAGTAAACCAGCCCCACCCAGGAAGAGGGCATTTCAGTCAGCACTCTGTACCTGTTCTCATAGATGTCCTGGATCTCATATACTTTCTGATCAATGACATCGCTGGACACACGACTAGCCTGCAGCTCATACACCTTCTGGTCAATCAAATCCGAGACGGTTTTGTGAAAATACTGGATGAAGTTTTTGATCACTTCGGGGATCACCTGATAGGTCTGCTGTTCATACTGACGTTCATAAGCCAGATCCTGCTTTGGGTCTCCTAGAGGTCAGAGATAATACTTTAACAAGTGTTTTCATACCCACATGTTACAAAAGAGTAAGACCATCCCTCAAAGTAAACTCAAGTCTATAAAATCAGGTATAATTCCCTTTTAAACACTCAGAGGTATAACTGTCCCCAACTCACTCTCAATTCCATTACCCTGTTTCTTCAGAACACTTACCACCATTTACAATTATTTATTTGCTTATTATCAGTTTCTTCCACTAGAACCTAAATCCTATGAGGGCAAGAACCTTTTCTGTCTCGTATTCAGGTATATCCAACACCTAGAACAGTTGTACATATACTGTAAGAGAAGGGAAGATTGCAGGAAAGGGAAGTAAGTAGTAAACACTTTATATAAACATATGTTTTAAATATATGTGTAAATAGAAATATATTTTTAAAGGGTTTTTTAAAAAGATTTTATTTATTTATTCATTAGACAGAAAGAGAGAGAGAGAGAGAGGCAGAGACACAGGCAGAGGGAGAAGCAGGCTACATGCAGAGAGCCCGAAGTGGGACTCGATCCTTTTTTTAAAACTTTTTTTTTTTAATTTTTATTTATTTATGATAGTCACACAGAATGAGAGAGGGAGGCAGAGACATAGGCAGAGGGAGAAGCAGGCTTCATGCACTGGGAGCCCGACGTGGGATTCGATCCCGGGTCTCCAGGGTCACGCCCTGGGCCAAAGGCAGGTGCTTAACCCCTGAGCCACCCGGGCTGCCCTAGAAATATATTTTTAAATAGACATGTATATACACACATACATATTTTTAAGTAGGCTCCACGCCCAGTGTAGAGAGCACAACACAGGGCTTGAACTCAAGACCTGAGATCAAGTCAAGACCAAGTCGTTTAACAGGGAAACCACAGCTAGATGAGACTTTGACATGAACCATGAAAAAGGCCGAATTTATTAGGCTGTACCACCCACCTTCTGAGAATAACTGACTCCAAACCGAGACCATGGAGAAGCAGTGTTTAACAGACGCCCCTTGGGCCTGTTCGGAGGCATTCAACAAAGTGCCAAACCTTAGAAGTACCCAGCGCGCCAGACAAGCCCGTAGTCTCACCTGTGTGCATATCATAGTCGCCTGGGTAAGCATAGGGATCATAAGCAGCCTGTTAACGAAACAGATGGGAACAGTCACCAATTCGTGAATCCAAAGCGCTCGTTCGAGGATCTGTGTGCCAAGCAAGGTACTAAGGATACAAAAGTGGATAAAGCACAGTCCCTGGCTCCGAGAAACTCACATGCTTGTGCAGAGGGGTAGACTAAGCAGACGTTATGGGGCCATAAGGTAGAGCAAAGCACCAGAGGCTGTGGGAACCCACGGGGTTTGACAAGAGTGAGCCAAGCCCACAGGAGCTCAGTTACGGAAACAAGGCCATAACCAGCCCCCGTCTCCGGTCTCGGAAAACTTGAGGACGAGGAGACCGGCCATGCGAAGTGGTTGGGCCGAGAGGGCCGGTGAGGAGCCGCCAGCCATGGGAACAGCGCGAGGGCCGAGCACGCCGGGAGGCAGACTGCAGCGGGCGCGGCCCGCGGGGGCCCCTAGAGAGACCCAGACCCCTTCTCACCGCGGAGCCCAGCATCCAGAGGACACTGGCCCGGTCGCGGAGCCCAGAACACGCACAGCGCCGGCTTACCTCGGACTCGTAATCATCAGCGGGGTAAGACATGGCTTCTGGGCTCACGAGCACCTCCGGAGAGAGCGAGAAGGGCGACCCGCGCCTGCGTCGTGAGGCCGGAAGTCCAGCCCCGCTAGGGTCTGCCGGGAAGCCGGAAGTCTACAGGAAGCCGCCGGCCATAGGAGACCGCCACGTCGAGAAGGGCGGAGACGACGAATACCTGACTTCTCCTTCCTTCTTCAATTAGAAGCTTTACGAGGAAGGGCGACTCTATAGTGCTTGCGCCAACTCAGAAATAAGGCTGAACCGCTTCGGCATAACAAAGACGGGGCAAAGTTAAGAGACCCTAGAAACGAAGCCACACAAAAGATGGCTGACAGCCTCCTCGAGCGATTTCTCGCGAGAAAGAAAATTCGGGTGTCGTGGGCCTGAGGTTGGGGTTCAGGTCTAAGCAGTTTGCCTGCGGCAAGAAACTTCCAATGTTTGGCCTCAGAAGACTAAACGTACTGGTGTAAAAGTTGAGACTTGGTCCCGTGCAGCGAGAGGTCATTGAGAAAAGGCGCCTGCCAACTTTGGACACTGAGGCTGGAGCAGGCAGCGTGAAGCCAGCTGTGGTTTGGGGCTCGCCCCTGCAGCATCCACTCTGGCTGAGCTCAGTTTCCAAAACGGACGTTGGGAGGTTTGTCCTCCCGGAGCAGAACTCGAGCTAGGGATCGGGTTATAAAACCAGCCGACACCGGCAGGTGGGTTCAGGGCCTCAGTATGGTCATCTGCGCATCCGCAACGCCTAATAGAAATCTAGATTCCAGGGGATCCCTGGGTGGCTCAGCGGTTCAGCGCTTGCCTTCGGCCCAGGGCGTGGTCCTGGAGACCCGGGATCGAGTCCCACGTCGGGCTCCCTGCGTGGAGCCTGCTTCACTGTGAGCCTGTGTCTCTGCCTCTCTCTCTCTCTCTCTCGAATGAATAAATAAAATCTTTAAAAAAAAAAAAAAAAAAAACAAAGAAAGAAAGAAATCTAGATTCCAGTCCCAGCTCTGCTGCTGAGTTGCTGTGTGACTTGAAGCTTGGCTCTCTCACCTTAGGTGAGCCTCCGCTTGCTCTTGTCAAAACAGCTCTTCCTGTTTTTCCCCGTGAGGTACACTCCGCCTTTGGTCTTTCGGATTCACATTTACCTGGTGTGGATTACAGAATGCAGTCCTCCCAGGTAACTGCAAGGCCGGTTCTGTCACCCTCAGTTCTCTGAGATCCTGCTTAGAATTGCGGTACCCTGCCCCGCCCCCCCTCGTGCCGCGTTTTTGCTTTGCTTTTTTACACCGGAAACTAATCAGACACCGTTAACTACTGAAATTTAAAATAAAATAAAAATAAGTAATGAATGTTGATCTAACATGCTAGAGGAACGACTGAATTATTTTTTCATTCTCATTATGGAAAATGATATGAAATTGTTGTCCTCTAAAGAGGCGATCAAAGCATTATTCGGCCTAAAAAAAATATTATGGAGGTGTTTAAGAAACTTAACAAATATGCTTGTTTTCCAGATTTTATGACGCTTCCCTTGTCAGCTTTTGGAAGTTACAAATTGCAATTTGTGATGGGCTGATTTCTCCCACAATTTGTGTTGTGATTTCTTGTTCTAAATAAATATTCTCTCTCCTACCTGGTTTTGTTTTTGTAATTTCTAATTATTTTATTCTTCAGGTAAGTTTCAGTCAACAAAAACTGGGATCCCTTGTTTATAACCACCTGAGTGTCTATATATATATGTATATATAATTTGTATATTCATGTATATATTCATGTACATATGTGTATTTGTTATTTTCTATCTCTTCCAGGATTTACACTCTAACAGAGAATATTTGGTAAAGGTTCTGAAAGGACCTTCCTCACTGGCTACTCTTGCTCATTTTCTTTTGTTGATCCTCCTCAGCTCTCCAATCACTAACTAGTGGACTGCCTCTTCTCCCTGGGCTTGGTCTCTTTCTCTGTCTTCACCCTCTGGGTGGCTTGTCTGGTCCAGTAGGTTTAAATATTACTCATATGGGACGCCTGGGTGGCTCAGCAGGTTGAGTGTCTGCCTATGGCCCAGGTCATGATCCTGGAGTCCCAGGATCAAGTCCCACATTGGGCTCCCTGAGTGGAGCCTGCTTCTCTCTGCCTGTGTCTCTGCCTCTCTCTCTCTCTCTCTCTCTCTCTCTCTCTCTCTCACTCTCTGTCTCTCATGAATAAACTAAAATAATAAATATATTAGTATCACTTATATGCTGTTGACTCCCCACGTTTATATCTCCACTCCATCCCAGAAGTGGGCTCAGTGGCCCATGTAAATACCTGCATGTCTGAAGGCACCTCTAACTTAACACATCTCTATGGAGCTTCTGATTTTCTGTCTCAAACTTGTTCCTTCCACAGTATTCCCCATCTTAATTAAGGGCAACTTCAACTTGTTCAGTTGAATTGAACCACCCTTGACTTGACTCTCATGCCACACATTTCAGTGCATCTGCATTTTGCTGGCTCTGCCTTCAAAATATTCCCTCTCAAATGTTACCACCTTGTTTCCATCATTCTTGTCCAAACCAATATCATCTCATTGGTAGTGTAATACTACATCACCCTTCCTGCTTGCAATTCTCAATCCATATTTGGAGAACTGCATTTGAAATGAAATTTAGACCATTACTTGGCAGCATCTTAAGCCCACTAAGAAATGCAACTTTGAGGGGCGCCTGGCTGGCATCTGCCTTCAGCTCAAGGCCTTATCCCGTGGTCCTGGGATTGAGTCCAGCCTCAGGCTCCCTGCATGGAGCCTGCTTCTCCCTCTGCCTGTGTCTCTGCCTCTCTCTCTCCGTGTCTCTCATGAATAAATAAATAAAATCTCTTAAAAAAGAGAAATGCAACTTTGAAAAAATAAAGGAATAAAGAATTGCAACCTGACCTGAAAGCAGCCAGAACCCCATTACAGACTATGAAATGTCTGATCACATGGTGTTTGATTTTGAAAGGCTCCCTTGTTAATGGAAAAGCAGTACCTCAAAGGCAAAGAAACTGTGGACAGACCAAAGCCCCTGGGATAATTCTAGCTGGGGGAGCCATCAAGAGGATTCAGCAGCTGAAAAGCCTTCCTACTTCTCTTGATCTTCTTTTGCCTGGGATCTGAGGCAGGAAATTCTGACTCAGAAAAGCCATTACTTATATTTTACCATCTGCCTGGTCTCTTCAGTTGGGTTCATTCCAAGCTCCACTTCCCAAGAACCCTGCATCTCTCCATAGCTCACTTACTGTCCTGCTTATTTGGGTCTCTTGAGCATGGTCTCACAAACCCCTGCTACCCCCCATTTACTGCGGTGGGAGGTAGGCCTTGGGAGAGCAGGAGCTCAGTCTCTACAAGTCAGAAATAGAGGCTCCTTAAGGGATCATCTGGTACAAGGAGTCAACTAGACAAAGAACGGGCGCCTGGGTGGCTCAGTCTGTTAGGGCGTCTGCCTTCAGCTCGGGTCACAATCCCAGGGTCCTGGAATCAAGTCCCGCATTGGGCTCCCTGCTCAGTGGGAAGTCTGCTTCTCCCTCTACCTCTGTATTCTCTCTCCCTCTCTCTCAAATATATAAATAAATCTAAAAAAAAAATCAAAAAACAACAGTGAAGTAGCAGGCTGTTTCCTGACCTGCTAAATTCTATCTTCTCTTTCACCATGGACATCAAGACTATTGTTCTTGCCCACTGTTCACAACACACAAGTTGAACTAAGTAAATTTAAGGATCAAATTGGCTTTATTCAACAATTCATGTATGGAGCAGTAGCCCGTCTAGCAATAGAAAAGAGCTCCACTCACCTGGGTGGCTCAGCAGTTGAGTGTCTGCCATTGGCTCAGGGCATGATCCTGGGGTCTGGTTTCAAGCCCCGCATCAGGCTCCTTGTGGGGAGCCTGCTTCTGCCTGTCTCTGCCTCTCTCTGTGTCTCTCATGAATAAATAAATAAATAAAATCTTAAAACAAGAGTTCCACTGAGCTGTAGGCAAGGAAAGGTTCTATTTTTATATTTTTTAAAGATTTTATTTATTTATTCATGAGAGACACAGAGAGAGGCAGAGACACAGGCAGAGGGAGAAGCAGGCTCCACGCAGGGAGCCTGATGTGGGACTCAATCCCGGGTCTCCAGGAACACACCCTGGGCTGCAGGCGGCGTTAAACCACTGTGCCACCAGGGCTGCCCGCTGTCTATTTTAATACCACAAATAAATAATCACTTTTTTTAAAAAGATTTTATTTATTTATCCATGAGACACACACACAAACACACACAGAGACGCACAGACACAGACAGTGGGAGAAGGGAGCTCCATGTAGGGAGCCGGACATGGGACTCGATCCCAGGTCTCAAGGATCACACCCTGGGCTGAAGGCAGCGCTAAACTGCTGAGCCACCCGGGCTGCCCTAAAGAATCACTTTTTAAAAAGATTTATTTATTTATTTCAGAGAGAAAGAGCATGAGTGAGAGGGAGGGGCAGAGGGAGAGGGAGAGAGAATCCCCAAGCAAACTCTGACATGGGGCTTGATCCCAGGACCCTGAGATCACAACATGAGCTGAAATCAAGAGTCAGACCTTTAACAAACTGAGCCACCCAGGTACCTCAATAATTATTTTCTTTTCTGAAAACACAGGGCCCTTTCTAGCCTAAAAGAGCAACTCTCTGTTAAAAAAAAAAATATATATATATATATGTATATAGATATATATAAAACATTGTCATGTTCTCTATCTTGACTGGGGTGGTTGTTAACCTAAGTATATACATTTGTCAAAAATCATCAACCTTGTGCACTTCAAATGTGGGAATTTTACTATAGGTAATTCATATCTCAATAAATGTGATTTTTAAATTATAATTAACATTAATAACAACCAAAACAATTTTGGAACTTACACAATGACAAAAGATTAATACCCTTAAGAAATTAAAGATACAATTCTCATACAATAAAGAGGAAGGTTATTTATTTGCTAATGAAGGAACCAACAATATGACAGAGCTGGTTTGGAAAGAATTTGAAGAGTTAAAGAATACACTTGGGTGGCTCAGTGGTTGAGTGCCTTTGGCTCAGGTGGTCATCCCGGGATCCTGGGATTGAGTCCCACATTGGGCTCCCTAGGGGGAGCCTGCTTCTCCCTCTGCCTATGTCTCTGCCTCTGTGTGTCTCTCATGAATAAATAAATAAAATCTTAAAAATATATATAAAAAAGGAATACTGTTTTATAATTGCTGATCATACTTCATGCCCTATGGGAAAACTATAATCTTTGGGATTATTTTCATCAGACATGCAAAAATTATTGCATCTTATCAGTTTCCTACAAGCTAACTTCTAACTTTACAGAGTTGGAAAACGTCACTGGATGCTAATCAATTGCTGTCAAAGTTAGATTTCCCTAGAGAGTCAGATGGCTCTTATGTGGGTTTACAAGCAATTCTCTAGCATGCTATTAAAAAGGCATGCAATCACCATATGACATATTTTCAGATACTAGATCATTCCCTCCACATTCGTGGCTGTTATTCCACATTTAATGAAGACAAGAAATATATTAATTTTCTATTAGCTCTGCCTAAGAAAAACAACAGCACAAGTATGGCAATAAATGGCAACTGCCTATAAGGCTCAGAAGGGAGTGGTGGGAACTGTGGCAAACCACAATACCACGTCCAAAGGGGAGAGTTGTCTGCAGGCACCCATGTGCCATGTGGGAGGGCTGGTCCTGTGTTGCCATATCTCCTGTTTTTAAAAGAATCTGAAGATTTGGGCAGCCCCAGTGGCCCAGGGCATGATCTTGGAGACCTGGGATCGAGTCCCACGTCAGGCTCCCTGCATGGAGCCTGCTTCTCTCTCTGCCTGTGTCTCTGCCTCTCTGTGTGTCTCTCACGAATAAATAAATAAAATCTTAAAAAAAGAAAAAGAAAAAGAATCTGGAGATTTTTTTAAATGTCTGTAAAAGTTCTCCATTTTTTTTTGTTTTTTAATTTTATTTATTTATTTTTTATTTTTTTTTAATTTTTATTTATTTATGATAGTCACACACAGAGAGAGAGAGGCAGAGACACAGGCAGAGGGAGAAGCAGGCTCCATGCACTGGAAGCCTGACATGGGATTCGATCCCGGGTCTCCAGGATCGCGCCCTGGACCAAAGGCAGGCGCCAAACCACTGCGCCACCCAGGGATCCCTATTTATTTATTATAGTCAGAGAGAGAGAGAGAGAGAGAGAGAGAGAGAGACAGAGACACAGGCAGAGGGAGAAGCAGGCTCCATGCACCGGGAGCCTGACATGGGATTTGATCCTGGGTCTCCAGGATCGCGCCCTGGACCAAAGGCAGGCGCCAAATTGCTGCGCCACCCAGGGATCCCAAAGTTCTCCATTTTTAAACGTTGGTATTCAGTTCAGATTGCTCTAAAATACTGTGAGGGCCAACATAATGAGAGAAAAATGAAAGGAAAGTCCTACTGAATCTGGAACTGAGCCAGTGTCAATATCTGACCTAGAATAATACCTTCCTACAGGAAGACAAGACTGAGGCCTAAAGAAAGGAAACACTTAACTCCAAATCAGGAGTTGAGTTTGGTCCAGACAGGACTTAGAGCCCAAGTCCTGGATTCCTAGGTGGAAGCTTTTCCCACAAGGCAAGCATTATAGGCATTTTCTTTGTCTCCCACCAAGTACTCCGTATTTTATTTGCTGATTAGCTGAATAAAAATGACTAGTATGAATGATTGTCAAGTTCAAGGTCAAGTTCATAGGTCATAGGTCAAGTTCAAGCCAGTGTGATGGGCCTAATGTTGCATAGGATCTGCATGGGCCATAGCTTGCATCCTACCCTTATTTATTATGATAATGGCAATAGTTACCATTTTTTGAGCACTAACTCTGGGCCAAGCTCTGTGCTTTACTCACATCATATCATTTAGTCTTGTGATAACCACATGATATAGGTCCTGCTAATACCTCCACTGAGGCTCAGAAAGGTAAAGTCATTGCTTGAAACCATAGCCCCACATTCTTAAGCCTCCAAAGTTGATGGTTCTAACCACTGGGGTATACTATCCTTTCTCATTCAGTCAGTCAGTGGGTCAGTCAGTCAAATAGTTACAATGCGGTGGTGCCCATTGCTGAGCCAGGCATTATGGGGGAATCCAGCTCAAGTTCCAGTCTAAAGCCTTTAGCATAACTTGATTCACATTCAACACACATCCCATTCTTCTAATCCAAAATAACAAGTGGTTCCTGAAACACACTGGAAGGTTGGGCTATATAATTAATACGCCAACAAAGTTGATTTTTAAAATGGGAAGTAACAATTAACTCCAAATGTTTAGAGAGTCTGTTCAAATGAAAAGATTGTGACATGTACACATATTCAGTTGACCAGATTGCTCGAAGACTGGACCCACTAGTAGGTGGAAGACAGCGGCTGACTGCTAGAATAACGGGTTTGCACTTTAACCTGGGTAGGCAGATCCTCCAGACACAAAAAGAATCGTACCTTAGCCAGCATATGCACCTTGAATTCTACAAAGAGAGGCTGGAGGGATGAAGACAACTTTGGAGGTCATTACATGGAATGAATAATAAAGTTATTTCCAGATACATTCAGCAGGAGTAAGGTATAAACACCCAGATGTCCCTTAAACTTTCTGGAACTAGGTTCCCAGCAGGCTCTTCATTAAAGAAAACAGTATGGTGGAAAGAGAGGACTTTGAGGGGCTCAAATCCCAGTTCTTTCTAATCGTGTACATGGGTTCATAGAACATCTCCAGACCTCAATTTCCTGATGAGCAAAGTGGGTATAATAACATCTACCTGCTGAGGTTCTTGTGAGGGAGAAATCATATAAAATACACCAAGCAGTTGGTAAGCGATGCGTGTTCGGTGTTCATTTCTTTCCTCGGTTTCCTTGTAACCACAGGGGAGCAGGCATACATGTACTACCGGTTATGGGGCAGAGATCAAATAAAACAGCGTTTTTCTCCATACAGTTATCACGAGAAACCTCACGGTGGTGTTCCGAGAGCACCGCAAATTCTGAAGGTGTTTTTCAACTGTCAGGGGAAAGATCACATTTTTAGTGGGTTGAGGGAGAAGGAAGAACTTTCGCCTGGACACAGGCCCTGGTCCGGGGCGCGCGGCATCCACACGCAAGTCCCTGGTGTCCGGCTTCCGCTCCTTCCGCTCCTCGTGCAGCGTGTGGACGTCCTGCTGGGCGGCCGGGAGGTGAGAGGGGTCGCGGGGCCGGTCCGCCGCGCGGAGCCCCTGCGTGTCCCGTGGGCTGTGCGCTTCACCGCGGGCGGCGGGGCTGAGCCTGCGCCCTGGACACACGGTTCCTGGCTCGGTGACCGGCTCGCCGACTGCGGCGTCGCTGTGGGGCAGTCACGTTGAATTAAAATTCTTCCTAAGTCAGTGACGGGAACCCTCACCAAAGGGATCTTTCCGCTTCAGAAGCTATTACTCTCCCCTTTGCGGAAGAGCCCCAAACGTTGACACAGTCTCACTTTCCTACGCTACGCACTCCCACCGGGAACACCTCCCTCTTCCGCTCGCGATTTAAAATGTAGCCGTGTTTATCCCTGGAGGGCGGCTTCTTCGCTCTCCTCAGTGATTGGCTGCAGCTCCCCTGAGGTGATTGGTTAAAGCATCTGCCCGTTATCTTTCGGGAAGTTGGTGAGAGTTTAAAAGAAAAAGGAGAGAGAGAGAGAGAGAGAGAGAAAGTGTCCTAAACTCAGCTGTTTTATTGGCTCCGGTGGCGACGCACGGTGAGGGCGTGGGCGGTTAATATTTGCGATTGGTTGTTCTGTCCGTCAATTACGCCGCCGGAAACCTATTCTCTCGCCCGGACCAAGCCCGATTGGCTGCTGGCGGCGGGAGCCCGCCCCCCCCCCCCGGTTGCCGTGGTTGCGGGCCCGGCCCGCCCGCTCGCCCGCTGACAGCGAGGCTTAGGGCGGAGGAAGCGGGTCGGTTGGTCGGCCCGGAACGAGGCTCCCGCGGCCTGGCCCGCGCAGAGCCGTTGCCATGGCAGCCGCCGCCGGGGGCGCGGACGACGAGCCGCGCTCGGGCCGCTCGAGCTCGGACGGCGAGTGCGCCGTGGCGCCGGAGCCGCTGACGGGCCGCGAGGGCCTCTTCTCCTTCGCAGACTTCGGGTCGGCGCTGGGCGGCGGCGCGGGCCTCTCGGGCCGGGCGTCCGGCGGGGCGCAGTCCCCGCTGCGCTACCTCCACGTCCTGTGGCAGCAGGACGCGGAGCCCCGCGACGAGCTGCGCCGTAAGATCCCCGCCGGGCGGCTGAGGCGCGCCAGGCCCCACCGGCGGCTCGGGCCCACGGGCAAGGAGGTGCACGGTGAGCAGCGCGGCGGGACCGCGGCGGGACCCCGGGGGCCCCGACTGCCGCGGCCGCTCGCGACCGGGTCCGCGGACGGCTGAGCTCCGGGCCCGCGCCGACCGCGAGCACCGAGGACCGCGAACCTGGAGGGGACGGCCTTTAAGCGCCCGGGGATTCCTGAACAGAAACTTTTCAGGACTCCAGGCGTTTCTTAGTAGATTAAAAAAAGAAGGGCGGGGGGGGGGGGTCGGGCGAACGCTTTTAGCATCAAAGAGGGGAGGCCGGAGCCTGTGGCCAAGCTCTGGCAACTCCTTTAAGTGCGCGGACTGGGATTGGACTCCTCTACCTCGAAGCCTTAGGCAAACTATAGAAACTTCCAGCCTTAGTTTTTCCGTGTGTAAACGACTACAATACTTGCTTTACGGGGATGTTGCCGGAATTAAGTCAGGGGGTGAATCAGTACAGGTTATCCTGCTTTGGTGGTGTGCCAAACACTGTTGGGCCGGCACGTGTTCATTTCCAGTCCTCACAGTAACTCAGTGAGATCCAGATACTGTTCCCATTATATGGAAGAGGAAACTGAGGCGGCTCGGAGAGATTGCCTTGCTCCAACACCCCCCCCCCCCCCCCCCCCCCAGCTAGAAAGTGGCTGTGCTGGCATCAGCCCACATCGGCCAGGTCAAACTCCTGCTCGTGTGTGGGCTCTATTGTCTTTTACATTTGGGGATGACGTGGAAACCAATGCCTTGAAAGATTTAAGAATGGAAACGTTACTGCCCCTTCTAGGACTATCTGTGATTCCACCCTTATCTAAGTCATGCTGTTAAGATTAAATGAAAATTTGAACGTGCTATGTAAAGCATAAAGGGCTATACAGAAGTAAGGAATCATTAAATGTATCTGCTTGCAATTTTGACCATCCCTCCGATGGCAAAGGCATTGGTCTCTAATACAGGGGTAGCGTATAGGAGAAAGGCGTTTCTGCTTTGGAATTACCAAATTTAACTCAGTTATTTGGGAATGACCTCTTTTGGAGAATATAATTGCAACAACTTGGGGCTGTCAGGATAGGGCTCAACCTTTTTTTTTTTTTTTCCCCAGATGATAAACCTGAGACCCAGGAGGTTTAACTAACTTGCTCAAGGTCACCCAGCTACTATAAGTGCCAGAGCCAAGATCTGGCTCCAAAGACCTTGAAGGATTTGCTACAGAAAGTGGCTTTTTGCACTGTTGTAGCTGTGATACATTTCAAGTTTTTCTTGTTCCCAGGGTAGCGTCTCTTGTATCCTGGTGCCTTTCCTTCCCTTTAGATGTTCTTGTGGGTGAATGGTGGATCAACTAGGAAGCCATCCACTCTCTGCTTCATCATGACTGTTTTATTTATTTTTTTAGGTTTTATTTATTTATTCATGAGAGACACACAGAGAGAGAGGCAGGGACACAGGCAGAGGGAGAAGCAGGCTCCCTGCAGGGAGCCCCATATGGGACTCCATCCCAGGACCTGGGGATCAGGTCCTGAGCTGAAGGAAGACACTCAACCACTGAGCCACCCAGGTGCCCCTGTTTTATTTTGTTTTTAACTGGAGCTCTCTTGCTCTCTTCACAGCTCTGAAGAGGCTGAGGGACTCAGCCAATGCCAATGACGTGGAAACAGGTGAGTTTGCAAAGCAGGTCTGGCCCCACCGGCTGGTTAGGGAAAGAAAAATCCAGGCAACCAATTCCTGGGAAGACAGTGCTTGAATTCAGTATGCCAGCTCACACCCTGGACTAGGCTCACTATATATATCATGTAACTGTATTCATCGTACAAGAGATAAGTCTGGCTTATTTTTTTTTAAGATTTATTTATTTATTCATGAGAGACACAGAGAGAGAGAGGCAGAGACATAGGCAGAGGGAGAAGCAGGCTCCTTGCAGGGAGCCCAATGTGGGACTTGATCCCTGATCCTGGGATCAGGCTCTGAGCCAAAGGCAGGCGCTAAACCACTGAGCCACCCAGGTGTCCCACTCAGATGCTCACTTCCCATGCTTCCCTGTCACTCTGAACTTCCTGATGTCATAGTGTTTTTCAGTCTGTGGGCTCCCTGATGTGGGGACCATGTCTGTTTTTGTATCTCTGGCACCGAGCAGCAGGGTAGGAGCTTTTTAGAAGTTTTGGTTAACAGGAACGAACAGTCAACTTTAACTGCCAGAAGAGCCACCACCTGAACAGAACCACCACGTTCAACTGCTCCTTGAGGCTTTGCAGTAGTTGGGTCAATGGTTCTCAAACTTGTTTAGTTGACGGAACACCCAAATGGAATGAGAGGGGCTCCTAGCAGGACACCACCCTGGTTTTTTTTGTGTGCGTGGTTGCTTTCCAGCATCCATTGGCTGACGGGAGTAGCAGCATCAGAGGTACAAGGACAAGTCCTAGGGGAAAGCTTCTCATCATATCCATGTATTAGTTTTCTATGTCTGCTGCAACAAATTACCACAAACATGCTGGTTTTTTTTTTTTTTTTTAAATGACAATCCCATTATAAATTTTTATTTATTTATGATAGTCACAGAGAGAGAGAGAGAGGCGCAGAGACATAGGCAGAGGGAGAAGCAGGCTCCATGCACCGGGAGCCCGATGTGGGAGTTGATCCTGGAGACCCAGGATCGCGCCCTGGGCCAAAGGCAGGCGCCAAACCGCTGCGCCACCCAGGGATCCCGACATGCTGGTTTAAAACAACCCAAATTTCTTTTTTGAAAAATTTGTATTATTTTTTTAATAGCAGATTTCTTAGCACATAATTTTGGAGGTCAGAAATCCAACACAGGTCTCACCACGCTGAACGTCAGGTGTCAGCCAGGCTGCATTTCTTTCTGGAAGCTCTAGGGGAGATTCTGTTTCCCTGCCTTCTCTAGTTTCTAGGGGTCACCCACATTCGTTGGCTCATAGTCTTCTCCCTCCATCTTCAGAGTCAGCAACAGTGGACTGAGTCCTCACACCGCTGTCTCTCTGGCTCACACAGCAGGGAAAGGGACTCTGATTTAAGTACTTATGCGATTAGTGTGATTATCCTGAATAATCCAGAATAATCTTCCTAGTTCAGGTGCCTAACCTTATTCACATCTGCAAAGTCTTCTTTGCTGCATAAGGTAACCTATTCAATAAACTGAGGATTAGGGCATGGACATCTTGGGGGCTGTGATCCTACCTGCCTCAAGTGGCCATCATTCTGTTTTGGTGGTGCTGTGCTGTGGTCAACAGAGAAGTTGTGAGCATCGCTTGAAGGCCATGGGATCAGAGAGCCCATTTACAGCCAGCACAGACAGGAAGTCGTTTACCTTAGGGGGCTGGGTGTTAAACTGTGGGCCTCAAGATGGTTCCCTTACCCCTTGTGTAGCATGGTGAGCAGGCCTGGCAGCTGGAGGGCTAACTCTTTTCACTTTGGTCTTTTTCCATGAACTTTAACATTTTCGAACATTTGAGCAGCAACCTAGATAGCTTTTTTTTTTTTCAAGGAAAAATGATAAGTGTTCTCTTTTTAATACCTCTTGTGTGTGGCCAGAGATTGTTTGAATTATACTTCCCTTGCACAGAAAGCTTAATTCATCTTGAATCAAGTACTCACATGGTGATTTCAGTGTTTTGATAGAAATACTGTAATGTTCCAGTCAGAGTCTCTGACACACCCACATTCATATCTAAATGGCTGTCAGATTGATCAGGCTTTTGCTGATGGTGACCTTGGCTGTAGAGTTAGCCTCTTTACTCCTTTTCTGTTATGGTTTGCATTTCCTTTTCCTTTGTTACACATTTGTTGGGGTTTTGGTTTGTCAGCAATTATAGTGGACATAAAACTGATGTTTTACTATTGTTAAATCATAATATATTTTCATATATATGAAAATCATACACACTTAAAATGTTTGGAAGATGAGAGAAATATGCAAGAAAAACATCCATAATCAGCAAAGGAACTAATCTCTGTATATATATTGGTGACTATCCTTATCCTTTTTCCTAGACAGAGAAATTTTCTTTATGGGCTTGCAAACTGTGGCGGATACACAATTTTGTAGCCCATATAACTTTTCATAGTCTTTGTAACCATTCGTTTTTTTTCAGAATGGAAACATCTTTTTTTTCCTTACTTACAGAATAAATACATGACTATATGACTTTTTGAAGCTTATAAGGTAAAAAGCAGAAATCACCTCATAATTCCATTCTCCAGTTATAATCACAATTTGTAATGGATGCCCACTGTCTTCAGAGGAACAAAGTGAGAGTTAGTCATAGATTTGCAGAATGATTTTTCTTTTTGGGGTGGGGGAGGGACAGAAGAAGAGGGAGAGAGAGAATCTTAAGTAGGTTGCATGCTCAGCACGGAGCCCAATAGGAGCCCGATACAAGACTCGATACAAGACTCGATCTCAGGGACCTGAGATCATGACCTGAGCCGAAATCAAGAGTCAGACGCTTAACCCACTTAACCTGCTTCACCCACCTAGCCCAAGTTTTTCATTGTTAAGATAATTAACCAGGTGTATGGGGTTATCACATCAAAAGATATGCATATTTCGATGACTTCTGCCAGATGCTGCTTCTAGTGCTTTCCAATAAGACTGTAACTGTACAAATCATAAAAGAGAACTGACTCTTAGTTTTATCTTATCTCTTTGGTACAGGTTGTCTTTTGGTGAATGTCCTGAGCTGACTGGAAGCTCTTCTTTCTCTTTGACTCTCATAAACCTTTTCCTACCACCTTCATTCATTTCTTCAATTAGTCAATAATGTTCATGAAGCTGAACAAATTTGATCATGGTCCTAGGTATTATTTTTTTTAAGATTTTATTTATTCATGAGAGACACACAGAGAGAGAGAGAGAGAGAGAGAGAGAGGCAGAGACACAGGCAGAGGAGAAGCAGGCTCCTCACAGGGAGCCTGATGTGGGACTCGATCCTGGGACTCCAGGATCATACCCTGGGCTGAAGGCAGGCGCCAAACTGGTGAGCCACCCAGGTCCTAGGTATTAAGTAAGATAAAACCAAAAAATCTACAATATAATTGGAGAGAAAGAATTTAAAGTGATAGCATTTCTAAAACAAAACCTCCAGAAAAACCAAAGTTATGTATTTCTTGTAAGTTCTGGAGCCGGAGAAGCCAGAGAAGCCTGGGTTTACATCACAGCTTTGCCTCCTGGTAGCTGGGTGAGTGTACCACTCCACAGACCAGGACTCTTCTCCTGGTTTGCTAAATGGACATGACACCTGGCTGGGTCGTTGAAGGGCATAGCAGACAGGTGCCTGGTGCCAGGTAGCTGCTCGGCGTACAGCTTCCATGCTTTAAAATGGCACAGCTTGTTAAAGTGAGAGTAGCAGAGTGAACAGGGCACTGAGGAGATGGATTGGTACCTGAGCCTGAGAAGAAAGAGGAGGGGATTCTGGACTTTGTCTGGAGTCCTTGAGAGGTTTGCTGCCAAAGACAAAAATGTTGGTTGCTCCAAAATGATATTTGGCATCAATTTCTACATTTCAGTTGGACATACACATGTGGCAGATAATGCCTCACAATTTATAATGTCTCCACATTTTGCAAAGAAGACATTTCACATCCATTATTCCCATCATAGCAGCTCTGGAGATTGGCAGGGCGATTATTCCCATTTGCTGGTGAATCAGGACCCAAATTCAGGCTTCCTGGCCCCAACCCAGCTCTTTCCACTGCCCCATGCTGTGGGCAACATCCTCCTTTCTTCCTTACTCAGCTTAGCCTGGGACTTCGCGTGCATGGCCCCAGGCCTGCGCTCTGGGCCACTAAAGGGCTGCCTCCCAGGAGCAAAGGCCCGACAGCTCAGGCCACCGTGTCCAACCAGAATGGGAATGTATCCAAATGGATATGGGGCCAAAGTCAGCCAGGGATTTCTGTGATTCTAGAATTCCTGGCTCTGGGGGCCAAGATCCTTCTATGATCTATCCCTAGACACAGAGCCAGAGCAGCCAGATTTGGTGGTCCTCAGTTCTGCCCTCAGAAGGACAAGTCCCTTGTCTTGGCATCCCCTGTGAGGCCAGCACCCAGGTGTGACTCGGTCTCTCCTGCCTCATGGATGCCTTACCTGGAAGCTTGCCCAGAAGCACCCCGAGCATCTTTCTTTTCAGGTCCAGGGGCTGCCGCTTAGCTAACACTGTCTCTGTCCCCCTGTTCCCTGTGTCTTGGCGGTGTCAGTGCAGCAGCTTCTGGAAGATGGCACGGATCCCTGTGCAGCTGACGACAAGGGCCGCACAGCTCTGCACTTTGCCTCCTGCAATGGCAATGACCAGATTGGTGAGTCCTGGTCAAGGGGGAGGGAGCGGGGCTGGCCAAGCAGCATCTGTCCAGAGGTGCAGGGGGAGACCTGCTGTCTGCACAGCCAGGGTGGGGGGCCAGTCTTTCAAGACATTTAGGCAACATTTACTTAGTGCCAAGGGCTGCAGCAGGACAATCCCTTCTCTCCCTTTTTAAAGTCCTTTTTTGCATGTGGTATAATGTATAAATAGTGAGCTTTCTGCATGTGTGCACTGGTGTTATCACCATTCAGATCAAGTTAAAGAATATTTCCAGGGGCACCTGGCTGGCTCAGTTGGTAGAGCATGTGATTTGATTTCAGGGTCATGAGTTCAAGCCCATGTTGGGTGTAAGGCCTACTTTATTTTATTTTATTTTTTTTGTAAGGCCTACTTTAAAAAAAAGAAATAGTTTCAGCATCCCAGCAGCCTACCTGATGCCCCGTCCAGTCCTTAACCCTTTGTAGACCTTGTTCACCATAGATTTGTTTTCCTGGTTTTGAATTTCACATAAATGGAAGCATAGAGTATGTACTCTTTTGTACTGTCTTTCACTCAAACTTACATCCTTGAGATTCATCCCTGAATGTTGTTGTATCGGGAGCCTTCCCTTTCTTATTGCTGGTTGGTATTTCATTGTGTGATGTCCCACAGTTCATCTATTTTACTGTTGATGGATGTCTGTGTTGTTTGTAGGCTTGGGCTATTATGGATAAAGGTGCTATGAACATTCTTGTACGTGTGACTTGGTGGATATAAGCGTCGTAACTGTGTTAGATTAAAATGCAGGAGTGGGGTTGCTGACTCGCTAGGGTACCTGTACACTTAGCTTTAGTGTGTAGTTCCACACGATTTCCCACCATGTGGCCCAATATACACTCCCACAGCAGTGTAAGAGTTCCACATTTTTCCACATCCTTGCTGATGCTTGGTATTCTTTTTTTAATTTTAGCCATTCTGGTGTGGTGGCGTCTCACAGTGGTCTGATTTGCATTTCTCTGGTGGCCAGTAATGTTGTGCACGTGCTCATGTATATATTGGCCATTCTTGTATCCTCTTTTGTGTTCAAGTCTTTTGTCTTTTGTGTTTTAAATCAAGCTGCCTGGTTTTTTTTTTCTTATTGATGTGTACAAATTCTTTGTATATTCTGAATACAAATCATTTGTCAAATATAAATGACTTAACTTTTCTGATCTTATCTTTTGTTCTCTGAGTGGTATCTTTTGATGAATGTAAGTTCTTAATTTGAATGAATCCAATGTATCAATCTTTTCTTTTTTATGGTTAACATTTCTGTGACCTGTTTAAGATATCTTTGCCTATCCCGAGGTCATGAAGACGATGTCTCATTTTCTTCTAGGAGCCTGACTTAGAGCTTTCACATTTAGGTCCATGATACCTCTCACATTAGTTTCTGTATATGGCGTGGGCCTTAGCCTGGGCTCGTCATATGCATTAGTCTGCTAATGATGGGCCCTGGCAATACCACAGCCCACCCTTGAGGTGGCACAGAGACTCTCAGGGAGGAAGGTGCTCAGCATCAGCTTTTGGCCTAATTCCCACTTTGGCACGTGGCTATGGAAAGAGCAGGAAGCCGCCTTGAAAGCCTTTACAAGCAGCCACCACTGTTGAAAGAGCTTTCTTTTTTTTGAAAGAGCTTTCTTTAACCCTTAAAATCCCAGTCCTTTCCAACCGCATAGGCCAGAAGTCTCTCCCAGAATCCTCAGTCCCTGTCCCTGAGACTCCTGCACATGAACCCTGTGAGTGAGTAAGTGAACGAATAAATGAACAAATGAATGAACGAAACAATATAGAGAACTGTGTCTGCTTTCAGTGTCCCACACTTTGATTTGAGGAAGCCTCTTTAGTTAGGTTAGGGGTGAGGGCTTGGGTCCAGTCCTTTGGAGTCCTCCAACAACTCTTCGTGGGTTTTCCTGTTTCCAGTACAGCTGCTCCTGGACCATGGGGCTGATCCCAACCAGCGAGATGGGCTGGGGAACACGCCACTGCACCTGGGTGAGTGCCTGAGAAGCTGCCAGGACACCCTTCTCTGCAGCACAGACAGGCTCCTTGGATGGCGAGCCTAGGGTCCTGCAAGCTCCCAGCAGGATCTCCTATCAGCCAGGGAGAGCCCGAGCCCCCTGGGGCCTCACTCCCCTTGGTCTGTGTCCCCTGGAATTCTCCTTTGGTCAACCACGTGGCCGTGCCCTGAGCATAGCTGTTTTAGTAACCTATACACCTCAGCAGAGCTTGTTCCTGCCTGTGACTGACCCACACTGTGGCTCACAGTGAGGCAGGTCCCGTCTCCAAGCCTCAGTCTCCCTAGCTGTACAGGGAGGGAGTTGGATTGGACCTGCCCCATGGCTGCCTTGGTAATACCATCTCTGGAAGTGTGACCTAGAGTGGGCACACTTGGGAGTCTCATTCCCCTCCCCCAGCAGGCACACAGGGCCAAGCCTTGGTGTCCTGGACTCTCAAGTCTCTATTCTTCCTCAGCGGCCTGCACCAACCACGTCCCTGTCATCACTACACTGCTACGAGGAGGTATGTGCTCCCTTCCCCTGCGGCCCCCTCTCCTGCCCTCACCCTCCACAGTACTTACTCCACCTGCCCCCTCAGGGGCTCGTGTGGACGCCCTGGACCGAGCTGGCCGCACGCCCCTGCACCTGGCCAAGTCAAAGCTGAACATCCTGCAGGAAGGCCACTCCCAGTGCCTGGAGGCTGTGCGGCTGGAGGTGAAGCAGGTGAGTGTCCCTCATGCTGAGCCCACAGCTGCAAACAAGCACAGGGCAGGTGCTGCCCTAGCCACAGACACACCTGCCTACAGCATTAGGGCTCCTGGTTGCTTCCCACCAACCCCATTTGGCACCTGCTCCACCCCCAGCTCTCTCTGAGCCTCCTGGCTAGAACCCCCAGCAGCTGAGCCCAGCCCCTTGTTCCAGATCATCCAGATGCTGAGGGAATACCTGGAGCGCCTGGGGCGGCACGAGCAGCGGGAGCGGCTGGATGATCTCTGCACCCGCCTCCAGATGACGAGCACCAAAGAGCAGGTGAACTGCAGCTGCAGGGCTAGGCCCAGGGCCTGGCAGGAGCCTCAGGCCAGTGCCTCTCTGCTGTGACACAGTCACTCCTAGTGGAGAGAGGCCGCGGCCGTGGGGTTATAGCGCACTGTAGACCTTAAAGCCTCTGTCTACTTCCTTTGAAGCTACTTGTGGCCTTCTCTCTGGGGCCGTCCGAGACCACCTGGAGTCAAGGATTATCTGTTGCGTAGTCCCCACAGTGAGGCCACCACGTGCCCTGGGAGGAGAGACAACCCTACCCTCCATGTCTCTGGCACTGGGGTGGAGATCTGGGGGCTGAGACCCCTGGGCCTGTTGTGGCACCTGTGACAGAGCCTTGGTTTGGTCCTACAGGTGGATGAAGTGACCGACCTCCTGGCCAGCTTCACGTCCCTCAGCTTGCAGATGCAGAACATGGAGAAGAGGTAGCAAGAGAGGCTCCCTGCCTTCCCTGCTCTGCCACTGCCCCACCCTTGCCCCCACTGCTCTCTCATTACAAAGAAAAAGCCTAATGCCTGGGACTTCGGAGCCGCACTTCTCTGGTGAGGCCCTTGCCCCCAGATGCTGCCAGGGCAGAGATGCCCTCTCACCGACTTCAGAGCCACTCCCAGCCACGGCCTGTCTCATCTCCATGGGCTGGGACCACAGCTCCAGCTTCCTCCTCTGCTCCCACAGCACCACAGCCACATCTCAGTTCTGGCCAACATGCACTGTCCTAGCAGGCCTCACTTGTCTTGTGGCCTCCTTGGCACCCTCGGCAGGCTCCAGACCTTTCTCTGTGTCTCTTCCTGGCCAGGGGCTCTTTACAGCCAGCAGGGTATGGGCTTCGGGCAGGCATCCTCGGGGGCTTCTTGGCTGGCCCCGCACCCCTCACCAGCACTAAGATTTAGACTTGTCACCTGATGTTCAGGGAGACATTGCAGTGAGTTTCTCTTGGTTGGAAAGGAGGGTCGGTGAGGCCTAGACCTTAGAAATACAAGGTTAGGAAGGATCTCGTGGAACCCAAAGCAGAAAGGAACCCAAAGCCTTTCTCTCCCTGGCGCTAAAACACCTGGAGGGCCTAGTGGTCCATTCTGCAGCCTAACTGTAGTAGGCTGAATAGTGCCCCCCCCCCCGATGTCCATGTTCTTATCCCATGAACCTGGGAACATTACTCTGTCGGGCAAAGGGGACTTTGCAGATGTAATTACATTAATGATTTTTGGACAAGGTGACTCCTGGAATAACCCCGTGGGCTTCATGTAATCCTGGGGATTCCTTCCTTATGGGAGGAAGACAGGAGGTCAGAGAGGAAGTAGGAGATATAGTGGGAAGGGGTCAGAGCTGTGGAATGCAGGCGGGCGCCCACAGAGGCTAGAAAAGGCAACAAATGGATTCTCCCTTCAGAGCTTCCTGAGGGAACCAGCCTTGCTGACACTTTGACTTTAGCCCAGATCTTAGAATTCTGACTGCCAGAACTGTAAGAGAATAAATACGTGTTGTTTTAAGCCACTGAGTCTGTGGACATTTGTTGCAGCAGCGACAGGAAACTAACAGAGTCATGGAGGCACAGAGCTCACTGTAAAGGACGCAGCCCACCGCTGCCCCTGCAGGGGCAGACTCTACCTTCCTTGTGGGCAGTGGACACACCAAAGGCAGGGCCCGTCCTGGCCGGGGTCAGGCCACAAGAGGGGAGCGGAGGACAGAGCACCGCCTGGCCTGACCCTTTCCCAGGCGGTGACTACAGTGTACACACAGACTCTCCCAAGGTCACTGTCCAGTCCTCCCTGGACGCTGTCCAGTCCCACCACTGCCCTCTGAGCACACAGGAATCCTGGCTACTTTGCAAGGAGAGCTTGTCCCCCAAAGCCCAGCTTGATCAGATGGGAACTGAACCCATGGAGCCCAGCTGCTCTCCAGACCCTGAAGACAAAAGGGCCGCTGTGGGTCGGAGATGGGGGGGGGGCTGCCTTTAGCACCCTGTGAAGGGAGTAGCCCCACCAGGTCGGCAGGGTTGGCAGCAGGGTTGGGGAGGGGGGAGTGTGGTGCCAGCCCCAAGACTGGGGAGAAAGGGGGGCGGAGGAAGCAGTCAGGTTTCCACAGAGCCCAAGCTGCTGCAGCAGAGAAGTGACTGTCTTGTCTACATGGTGGAATGGGGGTTGGAGCACCGTGGGGGAGGGAGGGACTCCTAGGGGGAAGGGTGCCACAAGGGGGTGGGGGGGGCGCTCTGGGGGAGGAGTTGGGGAGGGAGGTGCTCCTGTGAGGGAGGGGTAGACTGAGGGGGGATCTGTGAGGTAGGGGTGGGCTGAAGGGAGGGGTGCCATTAGGGTGGGCGGGGAGTGGGGGGGTGGGGGGAGGGGCAAGTGGGGGGAAGTACAGAGGTGGGGCGGCTTTTCTCACTCTGAGGAAGCCTGCTTCCCTCAAGTCCAGGAGCACGTTTGAGTTTGCCCTCTCCAGGGGCTCTGCTGGGGCTGAGGCCTGGACAGGGCCCCTTGGCCCATGTCCTGGGGGTGAGGCTGCGCAGGGGAGAGTCACCGCAAGGGAGAGGCAGGGGTGGGAGGGAATGGCCCTCAAAGTCAGTGGGCCTCTTCTCTTGGGACCTGCCTTCTCTGGGCCTCCCATAACCACACTCCTGGGGCTGATCACCCTAGAGAGAAGTGAAGAGTTTCTCAACCTCAGGTCTAAGGGGTTCAGTGAATGGGCCCTCAGAGAGATTTGAATCCCCTGAAACCATCCACGACTGTGTGGAGAGTGTGCATGTGTTTGTTGCTAACAAAAGTGACCACAGCTTTCATTCTCAGCAGGGTCCACACAGAGAGAGTTAGGAACTCTTGCTATAGAACTTTGGGAGCTGATAGGGCAGGGGCCTGCCAAGGGCATCCTGGGGACTGCTTGGGGACTTCTGAGATCGGTTATCCCCGAGGGCAGGCTGCTTTGCACTGGCATAGCCAAGAGGGTGGGCAGTGCTGGGACTTTGTGAAATGGCCCTTAGAGGACTTCAGGTGTTTCTAGAACAGTCTGACAGACACTCACTGGCTAACTCCTAACAAGTCCTTGGCCTGGAGCAAACCAGCCCCACCTGGAAAGCGGGTGGCATCCCTGCAGCATCCTCCACCCCTGTGGTGCCCCATCCACCCACTTCTGGCCCTGTAACCACATAACCATGAGAATGGGCCATTGGGAACAGCGAAGGGACTATCGTCCACTCCCTCCCCAGCCATATAGGCCAGTCATCAAACACTTGCCAGGCAGCCAGGCAGCCAACCAATCGGCCTCACCCCATTTCCAGCCAGGAAATGTCGGCACCCCCAAATCTGTCTGAAAAGCCAGCCCATTAAAGTCTGCCCCAGACGCTGGAGTGAGTCAGAAAGCACACAAGTGGGCCGTAAGCTGGCTGAGTTGGGCAGGGAGCAGGAGAGAGCACTCATCAGAGGATGCCTGCTTCGGAGTTAGTTCTGTTACTAGCCAGCCTGGGAGTTACTGGGGAGAGGGAGGGTAGAGGGAGCAGGAGAAAGGGCAGATGGGGGAAAAATCCACCTCTACAGATTTCACCTTCTGGGTAGCAGCCTTTGCTTTATACCTCACATTTCATTCGGGTTAGAAATACTTATTGAACACTGGGCTACACTCTAGGTGGGAATACAGCAGCGAACGGGAGATCGAATCCCTGGCAAACAGTGGTAAGTGCTTAGGGAAAAATATTCACAGGTTCTCACAACCATCCTTCCAGATAACTAGCCTTGGGGTTGCTCTTGATACCGGAGAAAATGCAGGTTTGCAGGGGGAGACCCAACTGGGCAACTGGGTGGGAACCACCCCCAAAGCTCATGCTGTTTCCACCATGCCTGAAATTAGAGCCTTCTCAGAAGCAGAGTTTTCTAAAACTAAGGGTGAGGAGATTTGCTGAGTTCCCACTAGGTGCCAGCAGGCCCTCTATACACAATCCTTTGCTTTCGTGCTTGCAAAAAAAAGGTAGGCAACATAGTGCAGCTGCTATCTTATAGATGCGGAAAACTGATGCTCAGCCAGAGGAAGTACATTGCTTGAGGTCAGAGAGCCAGCGGGGCCCAGCCCAGGTCTAACATAATTTCTGCTAAGGGGTTCCAAAGTGCAATGTTCACCAGTGTCCCCTGGGTCACCATCGGAAGGAACTGACCTACTGAGTGAACATCTCTGTTTCCGTGACCAGTCTCAGGTGCTCAGTCTGACCGAGCACATGACATAGCACACTTGGTAGACGAAGCAGGTACCTGGTCACTAGGGGTCAGAGAAAGGACAGTACGAGGTGGAGAGGCGGGAGTGGCCCTTGCTGACCTTTGGTGGTTGCAACTATTTCAAGCCCTCCGGGGTGGCTGGAGAACTGGGAAGGTGGAGGGCACACCGTGAGCCAGGCCTGGAGGGTGGAGGACAGGCGTGGGCTGGTTGTGGGACCAGGAGACTGGCGTGGAGAGTGCTAGGGCCAGGAGGGTGAGAGGTTGCCAGAGAGGGAGGTGGGACGAGCCTGCAGAGGTCCTGAGGTCTGAAGATTTGCCTCGTGGCAGAAACCAGGTAAGGCAGGCTGTCACCTCCACGCTGAGGTCAGGTGCATTCTTACCCAGAGCAGGAACTGAGCTCCCAGGGGATCCCTGGGTGGCTCAGCGGTTTAGCGCCTGCCTTTGGGCCGGGGCACGACCCGCTGTCGGGCTCCCTGCATGGAGCCTGCTTCTCCCTCCTCCTGTGTCTCTGCCTCTCTCTCTGTGTGTCTCTATCATAAATGAATAAATACATCTTTAAAAAAAAAAAAAGGAACTGAGCTCCCAGAAAAAGCCCCTCTGGGAGGACGCCGCTATCCCTGACAGTGCTGCCTGCTTCCCAGGCTGCTTCAGATGCTGAGCCCAAGGCAGGCTTAGGAAGTCGGGAAGCTGATCTGAGGCCTGGGCGATCCCAACAAAGTCCCTGGCTCCCCCCATCTTATGGGTCCCAAAGGGAATTACAGCTCCAACCTCCTGATGCTGGCTCTCAAATGAACACCGAGACTTTGGTGCATCAGGGAGATATGATCAACTCCCTTTACACATAAGGAAACAGGTTCAGGGAAGCAAGAGTCTTTCCCCCAAAGCCCCAGCCCTGGGATCAGAGTGTTCTCTTGTCCCTGGGGCTGGTCCCATGCAGCCTGGTGACTTTCTCCCACTTTGAAAGCCTGGGAGGACAGCGTGTGCCATGGACACATCCCCCACCATGGACGCCCAGAGGGGCAGAGGTGGGTAAGTCACGCCTCTTCAGCTGAATTGTGAAGGGTTTGCTGGAGACCAGTCTCTGCCCGGGCAGCCCTGGCAACGTCACACACAGGTGGCAGCAGCCAGTGAGCAACCCAAGGTGGCCTGCCTCAACGGGACTCGGCTCTGACAGAGCAAGGGCATAGAGAGGCCAGGGGCATGAGGCACAGAGGCCAGGATTCAAACCCAACATGGGGGCCCAGAGTCCATGCCCTGACCCCTGCACCACGCCACCTCTCTGAGTAGACCTGGCAGGTCTATCAGATGCTGAGGCCAGCACCCTCCCCAGGATCCCAGGTACCCTAATCTGGCACCCTCGCCCCGCAAGCCCTCCTCACCACCCCTCCTCTGCTTTGGTATCACCCCTGCACTGAGCCTGAGCTACCGCTTGGCCCTGAGCAAATGCTTCGATAAATCAGAGTCTGGTTCTCTTACACCAGAAACAATCCCACCCCTGCACGGCTTTTCCCTCTGGCCTCGTGCCTTCTTAGATCCAGCCGGCGGCTCACAAATGAGCCCTGCGTCAGAGCTGAGGAACTGGTGCTTATTAACACAAAGTGTCAGGTGGTTAATTGGGATTTATGTCCCCAGACACACACCTCGTAGTTGATGGATGACGCGGGTCCTGGCAGCCTGAAGCAGGGGGAGGGGTTGAGCAGCTGTGCCAGGGTCCTCACCCCAGTCACCTTGCCCAGGACAGAGCTTGAGCTCCGGCTACAGCTGTTACACAGGGTGGGGTGGGGGGGGTGAGGGTCACCTTTGCACATGCCAGTTCCTCCCTCCATGCTTCAACCACTCCTTCCTGCCCCTTCTCCCTAAAGACCATGGAACTGAAATCAGACAGACCCGAGGGGGGCTGTTTGGGGCCAGCTCTGTGATCTTGGGCAAGTGGCACAATCTCTCTGAGCCTCAGTTTTTCCATCTCCAAACTCTAAAGCAGATGAGTCATGTTCCAGGGCCAAGCACAAGGCTTGAGTGCAGCAGGTGCTCCACGGAAACCCCCAGAGAGCCCCCGGGCCCCTCAGTCTCAGCGTGTCCCCCCCAAACCTGTGCCCCCATTATCCCCTCTGCCACCCCCAGTAGCCCCAGCCAGAAGTCTGGGATGTCATCTGGGACACCCCCTGAACATGTAGTCACCAAGCCCCGACGACTGTACCTTGTAAGTGGTTGTCCTGGCGGTCCACACATCCCCACCTGCTATCACCATCTAGACACTTTCATGTCTCCTAACCGGTCTCCCTACCCCACCCCATCTCGTTCTGCCCTCCTCCCCAGGAAACCTGCCTTGCAGCCAGAAAGTTCCCTGTAGAGTGAATCTGGCAAGTTTCCTCTTTTGTTTACAACCTTTCCGTGGCTCCCTCTTGCCCTCAGGACAAAGTCCAGCATCAGTTTCAGAGAGGACCTACAGAATCCTTTGTGACACCACCCCCCCCCCCGCCACCCCGCTCCCACCTCACTTCCTGCTGGGTACCTTGTTGCAGGTCCTCAGCCCACCATGCTGCCCGACTCCAGGTGGCCCATGCCCATGTTATTCCATCTTTCCCTTCCCCATCTGCCCTGATTAACTCCCACTTTAGGACTTGGCGTGGGCACCAGCTCCTCTGGGAAGTCTTCCCTGCCTGCCCAGGGTTAAGGCCTTCTGGGCTCCCCCAACCCCCCATGCTTCTGCATTTTCTTTCTGCAGAAGAACTCTGTACCTAGTAAGTGCCTAGGCGTGAACACTGCAGGCCTATCCCTAAGAGGTCTGCACAAATAGGAGGATGAGAGGCCTGCAGGATTCAAATCTCCTTACACCTAAACTCCTGCCAGGAACCCCCAGGCTGCCCCCAGGCCCACCCAGAGACCCTGCAAGGGGGCTTAGGTTGGATGGATTCTCCTGGGCCTCAGAAAATGGCCAGGGCTCCCTCAGCCTCTCCTCCAGCCTCCAGTGGCTGCCTGTGGCCCTACAGGACTCACAGCTCTCTCTGAACCAAAGTACTATGACCATCTGCTCTTCCAAGCATTTCATTAGCCCCTGAGCAGGCCCAGGAGCCTCTGAGGCCAAGCCCAAGCCCAGTAGCAGGCCATCAATCTTCCTGCCAAATCCAAGGCAAAATAGTTTCCCAGTCCTAGGCCAGGCCCTTGGTGGCAGCTTTCCTGGCCAAAGGCTTGGGGGATGCCTGGGTGGCTCAGCAGTTGGGCATCTGTTCTGGCTCAGGGCATGATCCTGGAGTCCTGGGATCGAGTCCCACATCAGCTCCCTACATGGAACCTGCTTCTCCCTCTGCCTGTGTCTCTGCCTCTCTCTCTCTCCAATCCCTCCATCTCCCATGAATAAATAAATAAAATCTTTAAAAAACAAAAGAAAACAAAGGCTCACAGAGCAGCCTTCAGGTTGGGCTGCTCACTGCCACCCTGGCACCTCCAACCCAGCCTCTACATGGCAATGCTGGGGGCTTTCTAACCACACGTTTGATGGGGCCCATCCTGAAAACCTTCAGTGGCATCACCGTCCACCTGAAGGAGGAAGTCCCCACTCCCTGACTGGCCCAGGAGGCTGCCTGATCTCACTGCACTCACCATCCCGGGCTCCCCAGGCCACGTCACCCCCCTCCCTCCAGCTTGCTTCAACTGCATAAGCCCACAGTTGCTCCTGCCTGAACCCTGCCTTGGCACAGGCTGTTGCTCTACCTGGCAGACCCTTTGCACCTTTTTCAGGAAAAGGCATGGCAAATGTCACCTCCTCTGGGACTCCTGCTTGGACTTCTCAGGAAGGCAGAGGTTAGCTCCCCTATGCCCTTTCAGGACCGGGTGCTCTCCCGTTATGACCCACCACACGGCGCTGTCTTTTCATCTTTTGGTGTGTGGCTCTGCAGCTAGACAGAGCTCCTGAAAGGAGCTCACAGCAAAGCTCGAGGCAGGCACTCACATGGCTGGGGAGTAAAGGAAAAAAGGAAGGGAAGGGTCATTTCTGTTTTCATGCATCAAATACCTCTGTGTGCCTACTGTGGTCCAGAGGCTCCATCAGCCGGAGCCTCTGGCTTTGTTTACCTGGCCCCAGTGGGCCCGACGACTCTCTTCAGAAGCAGGCCCTGGAGTCCAGGCAGGGGCTTGAGCTGTACAACTGTTGCCTGCCAGGTGAGCAAAGCCCCAGGCCACCGTGGAGGACCCCCCCGGACCCACCGCCCCTTCCCCAGGCCTGGGGTCTCACGCAGGTTCAAACTGGCCCTGCCACTCCCTGGCCAGGTGATCTGACCTCTCTCCTGTCCCAGACGGAGGCTGTGGTGGGTCAGCCGCTTGTCCACCTCACAGGGCTGACCGGAGGAGTGGCAGTCCCGCTTGTTGGCCGGACCAAGCACAGCATAAGCACACCCGGGAAGATGTTCCCCATTCAGCTTTGAAGGCACTCACCTGTGTCGTGTGGTGAACTTTGTCAGATGGTTTAAGATGTTTCCCTGGGCTGCTGGGCCTGCCACGGGAGCCGTCGGTCGGGCCCAGTTAGGATCCCAACTCTGCTGTGAATTTGCCACTTGGCTTTGGTCAAGCTACCTGTTTCTACTGAAAGTGGAGGTCTCCTGTCTCCGAGGCACAGAGCAGCCAGCGGAGGTGTGAGTGGTGGCAACAGGGACGTAGAGGCCGTGCTGGGTGCTGTAGAAGTGGGCAGCATCACGCCCCTGCCATCTGAGAAACACTCCCACCGCTGCAACCTGAGCCAGCCATGGGAACCTTGGCAGACACGTGGTAGAAAGAGCACGGGACCTGCTGTCAGGCCCTTGTGCTGGGCCCCCCTGTGAAGGGTGACTGACACTCTGACCCCCAGGGTCTATGGCAGGTGGCAGGCAGTGAGAAGGACTCGGCAGCTGCCTACTGTCATGTCAGGGAGGGGCCTTCCCAGGGTGCCTAGCAGCCGGGAGGTGTGCCAAGGAGACAAGGAGGCCGAAAGGTCTCAGGCCTCTGCCTGAAGCTAATAAATATTATTGATGTGTGCGGAGGGGAGAGAGGGAGGGAAGTGGGTAGTTCTGCAACAATCGGGACTGATTTATTGGCTAATTAGGAGATTTCCAGAGCCACAGACTACCCTGCTGTGTGCATGGACAGGGAGAGAGAGGGCCACAGGGCAGCCAGGGCTGCCAGCTGGGACCCGAGTGTTGCTCAGTGTCTCACCTGAGCCAGGAGCACCAAGTGGCTGAAGGAATAATGCAAGGGGTTTGGGTCAGGCGACGGACCTAGGACTGCGCGGCTGGGGGGGATGCCCACAGGACTTGCTGGCCTGAGTATCTAAACAGAACAATCCTAAGGAAAGGGACTGGGAGCTCTCTGAGGTTTCCACAGCATCCAGTCAAGTCTGGGGAGCTGCCTGTTTAGGGAAGAGTGCTGATGCAGAACCAGAAAGAGCAGAGGAAAACCTTGGAAACGATGCAAACTGACAGCAGAGGCCCCAAAGGTGGAGAAGATGGTTCCATTGAGCAGGAAAAGCTAAATTGCAGTGGATCTGAATCCAACTTCTGCTAGACACTAGCTATGTGACCTTGGGCAAATCATTAAACCTTTTTTTTTTTTAAGATTTTATTTTTGAATAATCTCTACACTCAGGGGGCTGGAACCCACAACCCCTAGATCAAAAGTCATATGCGCCACCTACTAAGCCAGCCAGGTGCCCCCAATCGCTAAACCTTTTCTGATCCTTGATTTCTACATCTGTAGAAAGGGAACTAATTGTATCTACCTTGCAAAGCTGCTTTGATGCTTAGATTGAAGAACGTAGCACCGCAGAAAATCCACAGTAAATGCTTCATAACTATGCTGCTAGTGCGAAATTGCCCAGGACGCCGTCTGGAAGGGAGAAGGGGCCCGGTGAAGGGTAGCGGAGGAAGCCGCGCCTAGAAGGTGCTGACCAAGCTGGAGGCGTGGGCAGAGGCCTGCTCTCAGGCCGGCTGGCTGTGGCCAGACTCCAGACCCGGGGGGCTGCGCTTAGCTGGGGTGACCCAGTGTCACCATCCAGGGGTGTCCGCCGGGCTGGAGCCCCAGCTCGGCCAGGGCGCCTGGGGGGACTGCCGCCCGGGGTTGGGTTGGCGCCATCCGCCCGGTGGGGTCGTGCCCGGGGTCACCGGCACCGTGGAGGCGCACGAGGCTCGCTCGGGGCCCAGGGCGCACGGGGCTCGGCCAGCCCCTGCGGCGCGCGCGGCCTCTCCCCCGGGGGCCCCGCCGCGGCCGCCGCCCGCCGCCAGCCTCCCTCGAGGCCGGGCGTCCCCGGGGCGGCCGGCGGGGCCCGCGGTGGCGGGGCGGACGCGGCGGCGGGCGCGGTGGCGGCGGTGGCGGCGGCCGCAGGGCCACAGGCGGCGGAAGCGCGCGCGGAAGTGCCGCGAGGCGAGCGCGTAGACGAGCGGGTTGAGGCAGGAGTTGGCGTAGGCGAGGCAGTGCGAGGCCAGGCGGCAGGCGTAGGTGGCCGGGCTGAAGGCGAAGCGGCCGAACCAGAAGCAGAGGATGAGCGCGTGGTGCGGGCCCCAGCAGAGGGCGTAGAGCGCGGCCACCGCCAGCATGGCGCGCCCCGCGCGGCCCGTGGCCCGTCTCCGGGCCTCGGCCGCCGCGCCCGCGGGGCCCACGGCGGCCCACAGGAAGCGCAGCGTGCGCGCGTAGGCCAGGCTCACCACGGCCACGGGCAGCAGGTAGCCGGCGGCGAAGGTGGCCACGTCCAGGGCGCGCCGGCGCGCGTCCTCCCAGGCGGGCACGCAGAGCTCCAGCGCGCCGTAGCGCACCGTGCCGTAGTAGCTGAGGTAGGGCGCCGAGAAGAGCGCCGCCAGCAGCCACACCAGGCCCACGGCGGCGCGGGCGTTGCGCGGCGTGCGCAGGGCCCGCGAGCGCAGCGGGTGCCGGACCGCCAGGTACCTGCGGGCGGGCGGGCGCGGGTCAGCGCGGCGGGGGGCCGAGCGCCCCTCCGCCCCCGCCCCCGCGCCCCCGCCCCGCCCCCGCCCGGACGCTGCGCCGGACCTGGGGCCGCAGGCCTGGCTTTCCGGGTCTGGGCAGCAGGGGCGAGAGGGCGCCACCCGCCTGCAGGGGGCTGCAGGGTGAAGGGCATCAACGGGCCAAGCGCGTAGGGGGGTGCCTGGCACCCAGCAAGGCTGGGTTAGAGGCTCGGAGGGAAGGGACAGTCAGCCTGGCTTGGACCCCAAGTTCGGAACGACGAAGGCAGGGATGACCGCAGACCCGGGCAGGTGTGGGCAGTAATAAAACACCTGATGAATTCATTCATGTGTTCTCTTTGCCATTCATGCGACACAGGGCATCTACTACGTGTAGGGCTCTGTGCCCACACGTGAGACACAGAGATGGCCCCTGGAGGCTCACAATGGAGTGGGGGGAGGGCAGGATGGTCCCCTCAAGGACACTCTGCTGCCGCCCAGAGACTGGTTGGTGGGGGCCACAGAGCTGACCCTTCTCTCCCTCCCATTTCCTTTTTGGCTCCCCGTTCTCTCCTTCCTAAGGAATCTGTTCAGGTCTTCCCTCCCCAGCCCAGACCCAGCCAGGTCCCGGGCACAGCCCACCTGTCCACCGAGACGGCGGCCAGCGTGAAGCTGCTGGCATACATGGTGAGGTAGATGAGCAGGTGCACAGCCTTACACACGAGGGCCCCAAAGAGCCAGGCGTCCAGGGTGTAGATGGCGGCCTGGAAGGGCACGCAGCACAGGATGAAGCAGAGGTCGGCCACCGCTAGGTTGAGGATGAATAGGTCCGTAGTGCTGCCAGGCTCCTGCCAGGCGCTCGGGCTGGGCTGCAGCAGCACAGCCAGCACCAGCCCATTGCCCACTGTGCCCAGCAGGAAGATGAGGGCAAACACCACGGGCACTGCCACAGCGCCCACGCTCCCTGGGCTGTCTAGCGAGATGTTCTGTGCATCAGCCATCTCCCCATCTGATGGGCACCTGAGGAAAAGAAGCTGGAGTCTTCAGACAGGAGCCCCCCCGGCTCTGGTCACTCGACCCAGGGGTCTCAATCCAGGCCCCTGGCCTGGGCCCAGCCAGGTCTCCTGGGCATGGAGCTCATGGGGGTCGGGGATGGGAGTGGGGAGACGGCCAAAAGTTATCACTGAGCTCCCTCCACTTGTGCAAGCCTGGCACAGTTGCATATGCGTCTGAGGTGGGTTTCTCAGTTTCCTAGGGGACACTCCCATGAATTAGGTGATGGACACCTCCAGGCAGGATGGAGGGTGAGGACATGGCAGATGGGAGGGGGGCAAATCCAACCCAAGTTGCTGATATATCTACCTTACTTCTCCATGGGGGTTTGAAGCCCAGGGAAGAGTCTTGGACATGGGTCAAAGTCAGCAAGACTTGGGTGATATCCCCGAGTCATCATAAAGTCCAATTTAGTGAAAGCCTCACAGGGCACAGCAGGGAAATCCATATCAGTCGCTACGCCCTTTCTGCACGAGAGGAAATTGAGGCTCAGAGAGGGGACATGGGAGGTTAATATCACACTTTGAGTGGCAGATCTGGGGCTGTTACCACCCTGGTAGCCTGACGCCCAGGCTGGAGCGCTCATCTGACAGCGTGTTAACAGGTGGTACCTCTGACATTGTGCAAGTATGTGTGCGTGCATTTATGCAGGCTGTGCCCCCTCTCACACTTGCTCCACCCCACGGCCCAGATCGGCCACTACCTGTGGATCCCCTTGCATGCCTGGGATCTCTGGGTTGGTGGGACAAATTAAGGGCATGGTGGGGTTGGGGGGGGACGGGAAGGAAGGAGAGAAAAAAGGTAGTATCTGTGCCCCCAACCCGCAGCATGCAGCAAGCCCACCCTGCCCCGAAGCTCAGGATGGGCAGCACTCACCTCAACTCTGGGCACTGGGCCCTGCTTGGTCCTGGCTGAACCGGCCAGACTGGGGCTGCCTCTTGGCTCAGGGGCTACCCCTAGGCGCCTCCCTGCAGGTGCAGCTTTGCCTCCCACTTCTCCCTCTTCTCCTTTAAGGCACCTCCTCTGCCGAGCCAGACTTGGGCACTCCCTCCGGAGTAGACACTGGCCACCTCCTGCTCGGTGCCTGATTTCCCTCGGGTGGCATGCTCTTCTGCCTGGTTCTTTTCTACCTCCCTGCGTTGCATCTGCCTCTTTCTGCAGTGAGGAACCCATTGATCTCACTCTGAGATTCGCTTTGCAGTTAACCCCTCCGTGCCCAGGGCCCAGCCCATTCCTGGCACTCCCACCTCCTGCCTACTAACTCCCTCTCCATCTTTCCTCTCCCTGCCCCAAGTAGGGCTCTAATCCAAGCTCAGAAAGGATTCCTCATCTTGAATAGGGTGTCCTAGGCTAGGAAACCAGAATGAGTCTCTTTTCTGGAGACCAGATAGGACTCCTCCCCCCAGGCCCTGAAAATCCTGGGGCCCATCAGCTTTCCGAAGCTTATTTCAGAGGTTCTGTCTGGCTGGAGATGGAATGCTTTGGTGCCAATCCAGAGTTTGGCTTTAGCCTGAGGGCAATAGGAAACTAGTTAAAGTCTTAGAGCAGGGACATATTCTGCTTATTTAGTTTGTAATTAGTTTATTTTGGCCTGGGGTGAGGATGGAGAGAAGGGGAATTTTCTAGTGACTGATCTGTTAGAAGCCTCCTGTCCCCACAAAAGCCAGAGATTAATCGGTCTTGGTGAATGGCTGTGTGGTTCAGCCATGCACAGGGTTCTAGCCTGGAACTTTTGAAGGAGTAGGCCACGTGGCCAAATGCTTCCAGAGGGTTAGAGAGACTAGTCAGGGAGTGGGGTGGAGAGGGTAAGGTACACTGAATTTCATAACAGTGAGGTTGTCGGTAAACTGGACAAGTGTAGTGGAGACAGAACAATCTGCAATGAGTTAAGGGAGAGAAGAGGTAGTAGGGACTGCGTGTAGTCTTTCTAGAAGCTGGGACACTTTCTTGGGACCGATGGGGCCAGAACTTGCATTCAAGACCCAGGATGCTGGGGAAGGGACTCTTCAGGACTAGCTCCTCCCAGGACCCTGGGATTTTCCCCAGTGCTCAGAGGTATTTCTTGAAAGTCTGATGCCACTCACGCTAGATACAGAACATCCCTGGAATTCTTAGAAATATTCACTAAACGGAAGATACTAGGACTCATACCTACACTGCCCTGAATTCAGAGCTATCAGAATTGAATTAAGGAATTAGAATGGTAGAATGTCATGATCCATGGAGTGCAGAATTGTAAGATTCCAGCCCCCGAGCACCGGGGTTTTAGAATCCTTGACTGTCAGAGGTCTACCACCACCCTGAACTCTGAAAGCCCCCCAGATCCCTGGCACACTATCCTCCCTGTTTTGGGGAGCCTCCGGCCCAACCGGCTCCTGGCCCAGGGCAGGGCTCTGGATGGGCTGCTACAGGAGGGCGAGAACTCCCAGCAGGGCAAGGATAGCAGAGCCCCGAGGGAAGGAGCGGGGACGGGAGGGCGGAGGGAGGGCCGGTGTGGGGACGGCAGGAAGCACGCGTCAAGGTCGGGCCCCAGCGCGTCTCTGGCGCCCCCTCCTCCTCTTGCTCCGGGCACCGCAGCCTCGAACCTGGGGCCCCACGGGGGCGGCCTCGGGACGAGCTCCGGCCCGCGGGGGGGGGAAGGTGCGGCTGATCCGCGGCCCTTCGACTGTCGCGGGCGCCGGGCGGCCACCGGTACGCGCACCCAAAGCTGCCGCCGCGCCGGGGGAGCTTCCCACCAGCCCTTCCGGAGGGCGGCGGGCGGAGCCGGCACAGGTCGGCACGCAGAGCCGCTAGCTGACCCACGGGCGTGGCGCCGCCGCCGCAAGGCAGCCGCCCACGCCGGCCGCCAGGGGGCGCAGCGCCAGCGGTGGCGGCCGGGAGCCCCACTCTGGCTTGTCCTGCGCCGCGGGCGGTGGACCTGGGCCCGGGTTTCCGGCCCCGCAGGGTACGCCACACCTACCACTGGAACGCGTGGCTGGTGGCTGCTGGTGGCCACCCCGTGTAACCGCCGGCCGACGCCGGTCACGCGTGCATCAAGCCGCTGGCTTGGCCCGGGCCGGTGCCAGGCCTATGCCCTTGCCGCTGCAGCAGTGCGCCTGCGCCAGGCACACTACCCGATGGCGGCGGCCTGCGCCTATTGAGGCTGCTGATGTGGCCGAAGCAGTCCTCTTCCTTGGGCTGCCATCTCCCAGCACCCGGAGCTCCTGGTCCCCAGCTGCAAGCTCCTCCAGACCACAAGCTAGGATTCCCAGAATCCCAGAGTTAGGATCCCCGCAGCTCGCCCAGACCGGTCCAGGCTACAGGCAGGGCTGAGGTTCAAAGGCACGGAGAAGGGGGTCCCAGTTCCTTGTCGTGAATGAGGAAGGGCCTTCTCATCCTCTCTGCTCTACCTTCAGCAAGGTATGAGTTCCCCAAGGCTACACCACGCTGAGGCTGGAGCTGGGGTGAATCTGAGCCTATCCCACCTGGCCCCCCACCTCCAGTCCATAAAACCTAGAGGGGAGGCCAATGAAGAGACAAGGACCAGGGACAGCGACTCTGGGAAGGGGGTTCTCATCATGTCCACTAGGGGAGCAGCGAGTCCTACTTGGGGACAAGTGTGGATGGGGCCTTAGTGGCAGCGAATTGCCTATCCTTAGAGCATTGCCTGGGGGACTGCCCAGTTGAGTCCAAGGCCTGGATTCCGGAGCCTGGACTCACTGCGCTCCCTGGCGCCTGATCAACCGGCCACTAGACCTGGAGTGAGAGGGATGGAGGGACCCCAGCTGTCTATGTAACATTCATTCTTGGTAAAGTGCGGGAAACTGAGGCACACACAGGTGAAGGGGCTTGCCCAAGGCCACTGAGTCAGGGACAAAGTGGCATAGAATACATGGTTCCAGACTGTCAGGGGCTTTTCCCATAGTGACCCACATTTTTTCCTTTGGGGCTTGAATCCTCTGCCTCTCCTTCCACACATGGGTTTGGGTGCTCAGCTCCTCCTCATCTGGGCAGCTGTATGCCATCTTTTGGATGGGGAGTAGGAAATGAGGTGTTCTCCGGGGGCTGAAGAGTAAATGAGGTGGGAAAAGGCCTGCAGGGTTGGTGTGCAGCTGCCCTCTCCAGCAGCACAGAATCCAGTTGTGCCACATGGGAGCCCCTGCCTGTATTACCGGTGCTGCCTGGGTCTCATCTGCACCTGGGGTTAACCTCAGAGGTGGTCAGCACCGACATCTATCTACTCAGGAGCCTGCCCTCAGAGCCCCAGCTCTTGCCTGGTTCTTCAGCTGGTCACAGGGCTGGGCCTGCCCAGAGAGAATAAAGCACACCAACATGTCAGCCTGCTTCCACATTGTTGCTTGACACTCTTGACTACACACTTGGCCTACCCCAGCCCAGCCCAGCCCGAAGACTTTGAGAGGACTCAGTGCCTCAGGACTGGGCTGACCAAAGGGCCCCTCTGTCAATGTGGAGGGAGGGAGACCTTGGCTCTGCTTGTCACCAGCTGGGTCAGGGTAGTGCCCCATGCAGCCGCCCCACCTCCACGAAGGCCTCCACACAGCGGTCAATGTCCTCCTCGCTGTGCACGGCTGAGATCTGCACCCGGATCCGGGCCTTGTTCTTGGGGACCACTGGATAGCTGAATCCGATGACAAAGATGCCTGGTAAAGTAGAGAGGGTCAACCCGGGGCTCACCAAAGCTAAATAGGCTTTGGGAGGCATGACACATGGTGCCTACTCTCCTGAGGGTCACAGAGGGCAAGGGAGGCACCCAAGGTCTCACAGACATGAGACTGAGTCACAGCCTGGGATTTTCGGCTTGGACAGACAGCTGGTCTAAAAGGGGTAGTAGGGTGAGGGTATGGGGGAGCATTCACAGTATAGGGGTTCCCTCCTTTTTCCTCTTAGGACCCATAACTGGTCCTCTTGCCCCAGCTTCCTTACCTCGCTTTAGCATGTCATCTGCCATGCAAGAAGCCAGCCGAGCATCACCCAGCATCACAGGGCAAATGGGGTGACCGGCTCCCAAGATAGTGAAGCCAGCAGCCTCCATCTTACTGCGGAAACTGTGGACACAAGCTGGGTGTCACAGGGAGCCAGGGGGCTGTGGAGTGTTCACATGCACTCCTGATGGGCATGTGATCCAAGATCTGTGCCTGAGTCTGCAGGATGGGCCAACGGAGACAGATGCAGACCCAGAGAGGCAGATGGGGAGCCGGGCAGAGGAACAGGCAGACCAAAATGGGTGATGAAAACACAGCTCCCCCACCCCAGCCTGCCCCACCCCTTCCAGGCACCGCACCGCTGGGTCTTGGCTGCCATAGACTGGACAATGGCATTGCTCTCCATGAGTAGGTCCAGGGCCTTGGAGGCACAGCCTACGACAGCAGGTGGCAGACTGTTGGAGAAGAGGTAGGGCCGGGCGCGCTGCCGTAGCAGGGACACCAGGGGCCCAGGCCCCGTCGTGTAGCCCCCTGAGGACAAGGGGAGAAGGGTGGGAGTCAGAGGCCAGGTGCCAGAGCCTACCCCAGGGCCCTCCTGACAGGACAGTCCCTGCTGCTCTCTTCTGTATGGTCTCAGCTCTCCCTCCCCCACCTTCCCTGAGACTCCTCCAGGGACCTGCAAGTGGATAAGGGGACCCCAGGGGCACAACTCTGCAGGTACCTGAGGCTCCACCCAGTGCTTTCCCCAGTGTTGAGTTGATGATGGTGACCTGGTCCATCACGCCCAGCAGCTCATCTGTGCCTCTGCAGAAGGGAAGCTACCACTGTCACCACCGGCCACCCAAGTATCATGGGTTAGGTTAGGGGCTGACTTCCTGGTTTCCCACCCACCCTTAGAAGCCCAACCCAAGGCCCTAGGTGACGCATGCTCCCACCGTCCTGTGGCCCCCAGGAAGCCAGTAGCGTGGCATTCATCCACAAAAACCAGGGCACCATATCGAGAGGCAAGGTGGCAGATCTCCCGCAGGGGTGCGATGTCCCCGTCCATGGAAAAGGCCCCATCAGTGGCCACCAGGCGCAGTCGATGATTCTGCAGGGAAGCCATGGACAGGTGATGGCTCATGTCCAAAGTTGGGCCAAACCACCCATTCTCTATGCTGCTTGGGGCTCTAAGAGCTCACCCTGCCTAGTGTCTGGCACAGAAGCAGACACATAAGCATTACTGTGTTGGGGCTGGCACATCCTGGCCCCCATCTGTGCTTCCCTGAGCCTTGCCCACCTCTTCCAGGGCAGTCTTAGCCAGTGAGAGCAGCTCAGTCTCCCCTCCGAGAGGGAGGGTGTGATGGGGCCATTTCCATCCCTAAGCTCATCCCCCTTTATGCCTAGCAGGCCCTGCCACACATGAGGTGCTTGCTAAAAGTCAAGGCAGCATGGTACAGTGGAATAAAGCCCTGGGGCTGAGGGATTTGGATTCAAGCCTGTTTCCAACTTTCGTGTTCTTTGTCGTGAGTGCCAAGTTGGTCCCTCCAAGCCTCAGTTCATTCACCAGTGGCAAGGCTGAGGATAAGCCCAGTTCTCGTCCCTGGAACCCTTGGCCCTTGTCTTACCTGGGCCTCCTGCAGCTTGGCCTCCAAATCAGCCATGTCCAGGTGGCGATAGCGGTACTTATGGGCCTTGCACAGACGGATGCCATCGATGATGGAGGCATGGTTCAGCTCATCTGAGAGGACTGCATCCTGTGGGCTCAGCAGGGCCTGGAAGGAAGAAGGCAGTTGGGAGTGGATCTACTGCCCAACCACCTAGGGGTTCTCCCTCCCCATGTCTCCTGGTATAAAATTTCACTGCCATCCAGGGTCTTCCTCTGGGCAGGGAGGCAAGGAGCCCCTACCTGCCTCTATCTTGGTCCTCAGATTACCCTCCAGGCCTGGGCTGGACCAGGTCCCAGCCCCTATGAGAGCAGGTGAGAACATGTTTGGTAAGTCCCTGATCCCTGCTATCTCCAGCCTTCCTGCTGATATAGATTATCCCCCCAGGGCCCTGGAAGATTCCTCCTGGAGCACCTACCTGGCCTGACCTTAGCCTCCATATGAAATGGGCACTGGAACCTCTAGGCATCCTGCCAGCTTCTCCTGACTGCCCACTACCAAGCCTTCCACAGCCTAGCAGTCCTTACCAACTCCCACCTGAGGCCCCACACACACCTCAAAGAGGCCAGCGTTGGCATCAAAACAGCTAGGATACAGGATGGCATCCTCCCGCTGGTGGAAGCGGGCTATCTTTGCTTCTAGATCCTTGTGGATGCTCTAAAGAAACAGAGTGAAATAGGTGTTGATTCCTGCGGGGTCACATGAAACAAGTCCTGGGGACAGAGGCTTAGAGGGTCACAGACTCAGCACAGAAGGCCTACAGCCTGGGCCTTTCCCTTTCTTCACAACAAAGGTTTCTCCCCCACAGCCGACAGGAACTCGGCAGATGGTTCTCACTGAGGAATCAGGCTTGCTAGGTATCTCTTCCTGGTTGGATCTGCCTTTGTAACGGGGGTCTAATGTGGCATTATGGGTGACGGTGGCCAAGGCATGACATCTTCCTGACATCAGACTAAGTACCTTTTTTGGTTGCCTAATGGCGAAGAAAAGGATTATGTAAGCTCATTTGGGCCTCAAATTCTTGCGTCTGAAAGCTGTTCAGTCCAAGTGAGGGTTTTGTTGGGAAGCGCCCTGGCTGGGAGTTAGAGTTCTGCCTCTGATATTCATTTCATTGTCCCCTTTCTGGGAAGATGTGTAATAATAATCACAAGTGGTCAGGAGCACAGACTGTTGAGCCAAGCCACCTGGGTTAAACTCCTATCATAATAGGCTGTGTGCCCTAGGGTAAGACACTTAACTTCTCTGGGCTTCAGCCTCCTCATCTCTGTAACAGAGACAAGAATATCACCTATCACAACTGTTAGGAGCATTATCTTTTTTTTTTTTCCTGTTAGGAGCATTATCAAGTTAATATTTGTAATGCTCTTAATACATACGTGGTATATAGTAATCACTAGAAGTTTCACATTTGTATGTTTATTTTGTAACATTTACAAAATAAACTAATCAACATTTCTTGAGCGCTGCTATGTGCCAGGCACCGTTCTAAGGACTTTTGCATGCAGCTCGGAAAAGCGATGCTCAGAGAGGTCAGGTTTCTTTCGCAACAAAACAGAAGCCTGATCCTGGCCTTTCTGGTATACAGCTCCAGGCTAAGAGTGGGCCCCGGGATGAGCTGAGCTGGCCAAACCAGCCCTGCTGACTGGGGGAAGCAGCCCGTTGGAGTCAGAGCCCAGCACTAGGGACGAGGCACACCCACACTCCCCCGCAGAAGCCACTGTGTACCTGGGTCCCACAGATGAAACGGGTAGAGCTAAGGCCAGCTCCAAATTCCTCCAGGGCCTGCAGACCTGCCTGGATCACCTCAGGGTGGCTGCTCAGGCCCAGGTAGTTGTTTGCGCAGAAATTCAGTATTCCTGAGGTGGAGGATGGTGTGGACACAAAAGCTCAGGGCAAGAAAGGGCCTGGAAAAGCATCAGTGCCAGGCCCTGGGGACTCCGAGAAGCCACAAACCTGGATTCAGCCTTGAGGCGGCAACCACTGCACCATGTGATCCACTCTGGGGCAGAGGCCAGGACAGGGAACTAGGGGCCCCAGGAGGTACCGTATCCGACAACCACAGGAGAGGAAGGTATGGAACGGACCCTCAAGGTGGTACTTTGAGGGATAAGAAGTTTAAACTCTGGCTCTGACTCCCATTCCACCCAAAGGGGAACGTAGCCCTACCTCACAGGCTTCTCCTGTCCCCGAAGACTACCAGCAGCCCCTCATCTGGGCCTTGGTTCCCTCACAGGTCAAAGAGGGCTCAGGTGCCCACCCAGATGACTCTAATGCCTGCTATAGAATCATGTGCTTAAAGTCCAAAGTGAACACAGCTGACCTGAGGAGGAAACTAAGGCCCATAAAGGGCAAGGTTCACTCAGCGTGGGAGACTCAAAAGTAAGATGAGAACCTATGTCTCCCATTTTGATCTGCTCCAGGCTTCCCCCAGGCAAGGGCAGGGTGCGTGAGAGGGAAGGAGGGGTGGGAAGAGGCAGAGATTTTTTAGGACCTTGGTTTACAAATGAGTACAACAGCACCAAGGATCCCAGGCCTATTTCCTGAGCACACGGTGGGTTTGGGAGCCTGTTTATAACCAGGACCCACCTGGGGCCTGGCACAGACAAGATAGGTGGTGACTGCAGGTTAGATAGAAATGAGGAAGGCCTGGGTGTGCCTGGGTGGCCCCATTGGTGAAGTGTGTGCCTTCAGCTCTGGTCATGATCCCAGGGTCCTGGGATGGAGTCCTATATCTGGTTGCCTGCTCAGGGGGGAGCCTGCTTCTCCCTCTCCCTCTGCCCCTCCTCCCTGCTCATGCACGCTCTCTAATAAATAAAATCTTAAAAAAAAAAAAAAAGAAATGAGGAAGGCTCAGTGGGTCAATTCATGGTGTGATTTCTGCAGCAGCCAAGCCTTGCTCCCTGTGACTCTGGCCAGGAAGTTGGTTTCTCTGACCCATTAGCTGACCTTCCAGCTCCAGTATGGGGGAGCATGTGGACCAACGCCCAGCTAAGCCGGCCGCTAGCAGGGGCCTTTTTTTTTTTAAAGATTTTAAGATGTATTTATTCATGAGAAACACACAGAGACGGAGGCAGAGGGAGAAGCAGGCTCCACGCAGGGAGCCCGATGTGGGACTGGATCCTGGGACCCCAGGATCACGCCCTGGGGTGAAGGCAGATGCTCAACCGCCGAGCCACCCAGGGGTCCCTAGCAGGGGCTTTTGGGGACGCCATTTCACATCTCTGAGCTTCAGCGTCTTTAAAATGGGTTGTTATTCCCCCGTTTGGGGGTTTGCAGGAGTCCACGTGCAGCAGGTAGTGGAGACCCGCACAAAGCAGCAGGTGCAGAAATGCGGGGCTTCTGGCCGTGGCCGTCACCTTGGCACCGCCCTTCCTTGAAGCAGCCCGGTGGGAGCCAGCTGGGTGCCTCTCTTTTTCTCTCACGCTCTCACAGGCCCGGGTCTCACCCCAGCCCTACTCTCTGAGTGGAAAAGGTGCTCAAGGGCAAATCACCTCCCCCCGTGGAAACAGGTCTAGCGAGGTTCCAGTTAACACTGGGAAGCCCAAAGTCAGCCTGATAGATCGGGAAAGGTGCCAGCGGCCACGCGGGGCCACCCGCCAGGCGCCGCCCCGGCCGCCCCTCCGCCCCTCCGCCGTCCGTTCCAGCGCAGGCCCCGCAAGGGTCCAGGGACCCCCGGCCCGCTCCGACGACTCCCAGGGGCGGACGGTTACCTCCGGAGACGCCGTCCACGTGGATGCGCGGCCCCTGACGGGACGTAATGACCCGCTCGCTCTTCCAGGTGCCAGCCCCGCGGATGGCGCCCAGCTCCTCCTCCAGGACGCCACGCAGCTGGGTGAGCGCCGACAGCGCGCGGCGGCCGCGGGGGGCTGCGGAGGGAGCAGCGCGGAGCACGCGCCCGGCCCACATGGTGCCCGCTCCGCCCCAGCGCGCCCGCACTGCGCACTGCCCGCGGCCTAGCTGCCGCCGCCGCCGCGCCGTCGGGGTCCGGAGGCCGGGCCGCGGCAGCCAATCGGGGCGGGGGGGCGGAGTCCCAAAGGGGATTGATGGGTGCGCGGCGACTCCCCGTGGGGGAAGGGGAGGCGACCCCGCGGAGGGTGGCGCCTCAGGGCCCCGCCCACCAGCCGCCCGCCCTCTTCCCAGCCCCAGCCTACGCACCCAGCGCTCGCGGGGTAAGGAGGTGCAGCCGGGACCCCAAGGCGAGACCCTAGAAGCAGGCTGAGGCACGCTCTGCACCCTTCAGCGCCGTTTCCTGGTGCCCGTCCAACTCTTGGAGCCGGGCTCCACTCTCAGGTGCAAACGCGGCCGGATTCCACCCCAGCTCGCCGGCCCGATTGCTCCGCATTCGCCTCCGGCCATAAAAGTGAGGAAAAAAGGCACCGCTCAGGGTTTCCTTTTTTTTTTTCTATTTTATTTTAAAGTTTTAAAATTACAAAGACAGCAAATTCTTCCCGGCACAAATAACACTTGTTTAAAAAAAAGGGGAGTGGGGGGCGGACCACGCGCAAGTGCGCATTTTCCTATATTATTAAAAATAAAAGACGACTGTACAGGTTTTTTTCTCCCAGCTCCCGGGTGTGAGACGAAAGTACTAGCCCTAGATAGGTCTATATACATATACACACAGACACACAGACCTAGCTCTGTGAAACTACTTAGCAATTCAAAATCAACTGTAGTATGTCTTACCGTCCACTTCCCGCCCACTCCCCCCTCCCTCATCTACAACTACTTTTATAAAAGAGGCAAAAGTAAAGAGGTTGGGAGGTTTTTAAGTGGCAGGTGGCAGGTCTGGAGCCCCACCAGGCCACCAAGCAAAATCACCTCTTTCTTCTACAGGAGGAAACAAACAACCAGGGGAAAAGGAAAAAGTCCTCCTAGGATACAATCCAATTGTGTGGAAAAACCCAAGTTTTAACAGGGCACACTGAGGCACTTGGCTGAGTCCCCACCCTTCCCCCCAAATTTCCACTCCAGTTTAACAGGAGACTTTCTGAAGCCACAAAGACCCCCCGAATGGCTAGTTTCTAGCTGAGAGAAGCCACAGCTTCTGGGACCAGCTGTCATTTCGATCCCCTCCTTTTCTTCCCCAGGACAATAGGGAGGCCACAGGGGCACACTCACAGTGAGAAGGAAACTGGATTTGGACCCCCCACTGCTCACTATTGGAAGGTGGAAGTCAGCCCCCCCTCCCCAGGGTTTTTTTTTTTTTTTCCCCCACTTCCCTCCTTTGCCATCCAGCTGCTACCACTCCTCCCCTCTCCCCACCAAGGTTCTGGAACTCTCAGGGGTGTGCCACCTAGATTAGGCTGGTTGACCTTAAAGTACTCCTGCAAACCTTACCATTTCCGGGGTCCCCCTCATCTTGTCCCAACAAGCGGCCTTGCCCATTCTCCCCGCCCCTCTACCTTCATAGTGAACAAATCATCCAACCAAACAAAACACACAAGCCCACCCAAGTCCCTAAACCCATTAAGTAGATTAATAACAAGTCAACAAAACAAAATAGAAGTACATTCTCATCCTTAGGGATGAGAGTTGTGGCTGCTGTCTTTGAATGATTGGTTAAGGAGAAATGAATTATTCCCTAATTTCTGAGGAATCCAAATTCTGTCTCTTAGGAAGTCAGAATACAAAGAGGCAAATGAAGATCAAGAGAGAAGAAACGAGAAAAAGTATTTACAGAAAATAGGAGACAGGCAGGAGTGTCCACAAGAAAAGCCTCATTGTCACTTCTTCTTGCCGGTCCTCTTGGCACTGGACTTGGCTTTGGGCTTCACTGGTTTGGCCTTCTTAGGCTTGGATGCCTTGACCGGCTTGGCCTTGACAGTTTTGGGTTTTTTGGTTTTCTTGGGCGTGGCAGCCGGCTTCTTCTTGGCCTTCTTGACTGGGGTGGCTTTGGGCTTCTTGCTTGGGGCTTTGGAGGCAGCCTTCTTGGGCTTGGCTGCCTTCTTTGGCGCGGCCACCTTCTTGACTTCTTTCTTCGTCTTCTTGAAGGCCACTGACCTCTTGGGCTCGTCGCTTTTGGCCAGCCGGAAGGACCCCGAGGCACCCACCCCTTTGGTCTGCTTGAGGACCCCAGTGGTGACCAGGCGCTTGATGGACAACTTGATCTGCGAGTCAGCGTTCTCACCCACCTTGTAGTGGCTCTTGATGTACTTCTGGATGGACTGGCGCGAGGAGCCAGCGCGGTTCTTCTCTGCCTGGATGGCAGCCACGATCATGTCTGAATACTTGGGGTGGTCTGTGGACTTCTTGGAGGCCTTGGCCCGCTTGGGCTTGGCCGCAGGCGTGGACGTAGAGTTCTCGGTCATGGTGGCCTGTCTGGTCCTGCTGTCGAAGGAGGAGCCTTCCAAAGGGCCAGCCCTCGTCGGAGGCCGAGGAAAGCCTTACTCGGGATCTGCTCTGGCGCTCCTCCTGACTCCCGGGCCGGGCCGGGCCCGGCTCTCGGGGACCTGCCTCGGGGCGCGGGAGGACTCGCGGGAGGACTCGCCGGGCCGGGTCTGCGCGGCCCAGCCCCGCCGCTCTGTCGGTCGGTCTCGGCGCCCGGCTCGGGCTCGGGCTCGGGCTCCGGCTCCGGCTCGGGCTCAGGCTCTGCCTCTGCCTCTGCCTCTGCCTCTGCCTCCGCCTCCGCCTCCTCTGCCTCCCTATTCCCAGCTCCGCGTCTGGCGCTCGGGCGGCGCATCCGGGTATTTAGCGGCGGCGGGCGGACCGCGGTGAGGACAGGGCTGCTGGCTGCCTGCTCCCGGCCCGGAATGGCGCCGCGCCGCCGCCATCTGTGTTTCTTCCGCCCAGCAAATCCGACCTTTCCCCCCGGCCCGGGCCCTCCCGCTCCCCGCCGCCGCGCGGGACCGCTGCCTGGCTCCCTGGGCTCCCCCGCCGGGCATCCCGCCGGCCCGGCCGCCGCCCCCCGCGCCCGCCACGCGCCCCAAACGGCGCCGAGGACCGCTGCTGCGCCTGCACATTTCCCCTTTGCGGGGGGCTGGCTCTGCGGGGCCGGGGGGCCCCGGTGCGGGAAACCCCCCGTAGCAAAGCTCCCCCCTGGGGCTACCGGGGGCCCCGTCCCCGGGCCGCGGCGGGACCCCCCAGCCCGGCGGAGCGGCTGGAAAGCGGCCCCAACTAACACACGCTGCCCCGAGCCGGGCGACTCCCAGCCGGGCCGAGCCGGGACAGGGGGGAGGGGTCGCTCCCCCGGGGTCCGGTCACCTCTCGGGGGGGTCACCCCACCACTGGGCCCCTCGCACCCCTGCCTCTTCTCTGTCCTTGGGGCCCCTGAGCAAACTTTCCCTGGAAGAGTTGGAAGGGCACTTTCAAACTTTGTCCCTTCCCCCTCCTCGGCAGGCTCTCCCCCAGCCTGCCCCCCACCCCTGCGTGGGGGTTCCCTCCCGGGGCCGAACCCCCGGCACTGCCTGGGACCCCCCAGGGAGTGAGGGCGGGTCTCCGGAGTCCTCTCCTCTCAAAGACCCCCACATCGCCCGCATATCCTAATCGGGAATGCATTTATATGCCTCTTTCAGCCTAGGAGTTTCGGGGTCTCCGAGACAGAACCTTGCTGCCCCCACCCCCGAGGCACGGCCTGGGGGTCAAGTCCCCCTCCCAAGGTCCCTTGAAGGCAGTGGGGGGGCGGGCTGCAATGCAGGAGCTGTCCCAAAGGCTCCAACCAGAGACTTGTCCTGGGGGCCCTTGGGATGAAAAGAGGCCCTGGTGCTTTGGGAACTTGGGGAAACGGCGCTGGGGGCGGGAGGTGGAGGAGGGGGTCTCGCTCCTGGGGTCCTGACTAATCCTCTGAAAGTGTGCAGTTGCCCAGAGAGCCGTGGCCGGGACCACCGCCATTTTGCTGGGAGGCTGGGATGTCTTTGTTAAAATGTATACATCTTTGCCCCGCTGCTGGGCAGGTATAGATGCGGGACAAGGGGCGTCACCCTCTGAAGGGAGTCTTGAGGGGCCTCCGAGGGACTTTAGGGGCCAGAGGCCAGCAGAGGGGACCCCAGAGTTCCGGGGACCCCTTGTCCATGACACACATCCTAATCACGTGCAGAGCCCACTTGGCAGTGGCCCTGGGTTGAGATTCTGGGATGCTCCGGGCCCCCTCCCGCAGCAAACCGCGGCTTTTATTCCCTAAGCAGAGAGGCCAGGCACTCCTTATTTAAACAATACCCTGGGAGTGGGGGTTTATAGCTGGTCAAAATGATGAACGTGTCTCTGGTATAGTCCGGGAGCTGTTTGCAGACACTGGCTGTTGGGAAGGGGAGTGGGGGAGGGTTAGGAGGGTTTGGGTGGGGGATGGGGGGGTCGTTGCTGCGGGTGGGAGGAAGGGCTCCTACAGGACTTGGGGCGTCTCTGAGGCCAGAAAAATTAATAGGCTTCCCCCCACATACACCAAGGGATGGATTAATCCAAATGATTGGGGAGGCGAGAGAGAGAGAGAGAGAGAGAGAGAGAGAGAGAGAGAGGCCTGAGACTTGCTATCAGATGCCTTCTTGGGGCTTATCTCGGTGGCACAGGCAGGGAAGGGAAGCCACTAAGGGCCAGGTTAGTTCAAAAGGTCAAGGTTCTTATTTGGATGATGTCAATTACCCGAAAGTTCCCTGATTTGAAAACAGCATTCTGGTGGGCTTGTTTTGGCTATTTACAAAGACAATTCTAATTCCCACCAAGATCTGCACGGGAAAATAGGCAATCCAAATAGCCACCACCCCGGCCGAGATGTGTACACACACCCCTCCCACCCCCGCCACGACCCTGGGTGTCTGAAAATAAGGACTAGATGAATCCTTTGGCACGATGATGAAATCATTTTATTTACACAGCGCCGTACAGTTTGCAAAGTGCTTGCTCTCCACTCGGTTCTGGATTCTTTGCGCCTCCAGCCTGGGGAGGCAGCCAACCTGATCACTCCCCCAGTGATCCCCATTTTACCGGGGAGGCCGCGGGACTCGGAAGGATGGATGTGGGGGCGCACCTGAGGCTCA